TCTGCAGGTGAGTAGGACCCCACGCTGTACCGTGCCTGGGGAGCCCCACGGATGTTTCAGTTTCAGATAAACTGCGTGTTTTCCTTCCACCACCCCACGCAAATAGCTCTGCCATGTCAGCGAGCAAGCTGGGCACTAAGGAACTTGGCATGGATGGAAAGGGGGCAGAAACATGCAGACGGGTAGCAGTCAAAGAGCAAAAAGTCCTTTCCAAGCCCGCGAAGTAACCAACAGCTTGCAAAGGAGGTGCCCAAAATCTTGTGTGTCTAGGATATTTTTGACTGCCTCCAGCTCATGTCATCAGCCATGACCCCTCAAAAAAAGATGTTCATTAGCCCTTGGTCACAATTATCTCAGGAAATTTGCTGGGCAGGCTTTTTATCCCCGCCAGTCCTCGCTCCTCACTTGCCAGAAGGTTGCTGTGTACTCACATAGTGCTGACTGGGGAAAAACCTTTTCTCGTAGCCCAGGAGCTCTATGTGACGGATGAAGGCGTCCCCCATTGCTGCTCCTGCCCGCGGTGTCCTGCTCCGGAGCCTGCTTCTGCCTCTCCAGGTCTCTGGACACCCTCCCCTCCCCTTCCCTCCCGTCCCCTCCCCTCTGCCCTCACACAGCTCGCCGTTAAAGCGCTGGGGAAGCGGAACTCCCGCTGCAATCGCACCAGTAATCGTTTACCCTCAGCGATTTGTGTTGAGTCGGTGCTTCCCATGGCGAGTTCCCAGCCCAGCCATTTCAGTGGTTCCAGGGAGAAGGAGGAGGCGGGGTGGGAGGCCTCGGGAATATCCTGGAAGCACCTCTGGAATCAGAGGACAGTGAAGGGCGAGGGCCACGCTGGCTACCCTGATATCCACGTGACTCCTCTGACTGCTGATGCTGCCCTGTGACAGCACAGGGTGCTGCAGCAGAGGGTCAAGGACAGACAGGTGCCTTGGCACTAGCAGCCAGAGGAACCTTTCCCATCTCTAGCAGAGCTGGAAGGGCTGAACGAAGCATGTAAAGCACTCCCTGAGCCCGGGGATGGCAGCGCCGTTCTCTGTACGGCTGGGAAGGGCAGGTAGGGAAGCTGGGGCAGAGCCCACGCAGGATGGGGCAGCCACGGGCTGTGTGCAAGAGCTCCTGCCCTTGCGTCACCGTTTCCTTTCAGTTACCTGCAGCTTCCCCAAAATCTGCTACCAAAAGGCTGCCTTGAGCAGCCCCCGAGGACCTGAGCCAGTCCCAGCAGTGCTCACCACCTTAGCCGAGCATAAGGCTGAAAGGGAGGGGACCCCAGGCATGGGGAAACGCCGCTGGGAGAGCAGGAGAGTCCCTTGCTAAACCACTCTGATATGGCAGCACATAATCAGCAACCATCTCTTCCTTCTCCCTCCCCAGCCCTGAGCAGAAACACCCGAATGGATGTGAGATCTGCATGGGTCAGTCCTACACTGCTTGCAGGCAAAGGTGCACCAAGGGCACCCTGGATTACAACAGGCACCAGTGCAAGGCAGTCCCCTGACAGAGGCAGGACCTGCTCTTCACAGGATGCTCAGAGGAGCCCAACTCCAGCCAACTGTGAGCCCTCAGCCCCATCCCTGACTCCCGGTGCTTCATCTCCTGCGAGAGCCCATGCCTGGGTGCAGCTCTTGTCCCTGGCAGGCCAGCATGTTACCGTGAGCTGAGCGTCAAGCAAAACCACCCCCACTCTCAGCCGGGAGCAGAGATGTTTTGGGCAATGAGGCAGCACCCCTGTTGCCTGATCCTGGCAGGCAACAGCCTCAAACCATGGTGGAGCTGACGGGCTCTCTCACTGACCAGCCCTGCCACAGGATCAGCCCAGTGCCCTCCTTAGCTGTAAAGACAAAAGCTTGCTCTGCATTAAAAACACCAAATACTAACTATAACTTTCCCCTGGCCCTTGGGTGTGGTGCTTTGCATCTGTGGAGTTCAGAAACATGGTTATTTTCATTTGGCTTATTATTTTAACATGGGGGCTCCCTTATATGCAAAGCAAAATTATACAACTACAGATATTAAAAAAGGTCCCTGCAGGGCTGTTTGGATTCTGCTCTGTTAGTCACCAGACAGCTGCTGCTTATGGAGAACACCATAAACTGTCATGAAAGCGTATCTCATAATTAAAATTGTTTGTACTAAATTTAAAACTCTATTACAGACAGTACATTACTGGAAACCACGCAATTCACATGTTTCTTCCTGTTTCATCATTTCTTATCTTGTGATGTGAGAAATGAAACAAGAGATTGTAAATGCCAGTGTCGTGGTTTTGCCCTGGCTCAATTTACTTTTATACCCCCACATACAATTACTATTAGTTGAGAGAAGGTTTATGCAGACAAAAAGAGACTGAATTAAAAAAAAAAGGTATGAGTATTTATTATTAACAAACTAAAACTAAAGAATTATATTTACAACAATTCTACTTGAGTAAAAGGTACTATGTATTTACAAAAGATACTTTTCCCCCCACTTCCCTTTATATTAGTCCAAGGAGGAGAAGCAGTCCTTTTCTGTTCTCAGAATTCCAGCTCTCTCTCTCTCTCTCTAGTAACTCTGCAGCACTTTCGTCGCAGTTGGAACTTCTTTATCTCTCTCTTATTCTGTGTTGGCCTCCAGGGCTGGGCCTACCCCCCTCCTGGGTTAAAACCGAAGGCTGAGGGTTACCCAGGTCCTGAAGGGTTTCCTTCCATAGGCTTGCAAGGGGACACTTGCTTACTATGGATCTTCTTCCACAGGGTTACAGGGAATAATGGTTTAAGAGTTCACCCCTGTTTCTCTATGGAGGTCCCTCCCCATGGGAGAACAGTCCTTGATTGACTTCTCGGCATGGGTCCAGTCTGGATCCCTTACTCGGATCCCAATATCCCACCTGAGCCATTTTCTGCTCCAGCGTAGGTTCTCTCTAGCACCAGCAGCACGGATCCCACACATGGATTCCAACATCCCTACCTGAACCGTTTTGTGTTCCAGCGTAGGTCCTAATACCCGTCAGGGTCATAAATCTTCAACAGCAGCAGCATGGATCTCTCACTGAGATCCCAAGCTTATCTGAGCCGTCTCGCTCCAGCATAAGCATCGATCCCTTCGAGGGTCACAAAGTCTTTAACAGGACTCTGCCTTATCTGAGCCGCTCCTGCTCCAGCATAAGGCTTTCTCTCTGTTAAAGTCACAAATCTCTGGTGCATCCACAAGCTCCTCTGTGAGCCGCATGGGGGGTCTCTTCACCCCAACAAACTTCTACAGGTGGCAGGGTTTTATTTTTCAGTCTTTACCCTGCTGAAGAGAGGGAGAGCGAAAGGGAGAAAAAGCAGTTCTCCCCCCTTCGAACTTTTCTTCTCTTTCCTGTGCTGCCAGCTTCGACCTTGGAAATCCTGTTATCTCGTGGCTGGAATTCTTCTGCAGCGGTTTCTCGTCTAAGCAGTTCGTCTTTTAAACTTTTTTTTCTTCACTCTCTCACAAGAGAGAAGGGAGGCTTCAGTACTACACCTGCCCCCCCCCGGCCCAAGCCGGGGAGGAGGGGGCCTTGGCCCTCCTCGGGCCCGCTACCCTTCTACATGGCTGCTGCTCCTAATTTCAACTGCGCCACCAACCTTCTCTTCCGTTTTCTTAAAGATGTAATTAGCAAAGGCGTCACTCAACTTTTTGATTGGTTTTTTGTCCGGAAATCACCTGGACAAAACCATCCTCAGCCCCAGGGATGGGCTGATGGGCAAAACCACGACAGCCAGTGATGGGTTAGTTCACAGGAAGATACCACCTGTAACTCAGTGTGATAAGGTGCTCAGTGTTCCACCAATTGTCTTGCCACTAATAGGTGTCAAGGAGCCCCTGGTGGTCTAGTGGTAAAGGCGCCGCACTATCACCGCGGAGACCCGGGTTCGATTCCCGGTCAGGGCCACTCCCGGGCAGGTGGGGCTCGTTAGCCCTTAAAGGCAACCCACCTACGTCCTGAGGACCTCGCTGCCACCGTCCAAGCTCGCTTGGCCCCGGCAGATGAACCTTAGGATTAAAGGGTGGGCTCAGTTCCGCGCACACTGTGTCTCACCTAAAAAATCCAATGCGCAGGCTGGAAGGGGTAAAGACCTTCCCCGGATCTTCGCTCGCAAAGACTGGCCATTATTATATATATTATAATAGGTGTCAAGAAGCATAATTTTAGAAGAAAATTCTCAGAAGAGGCATGACCCATCTGAATGAGTTTACTGAGTTCATGTTTTGGCAAACAAGGTTGGTATCTGAATGCAGGACTTGATTTTGAGAGAGATGAAAATCCATGGCCTCCAGACTGAGCTGGTAGCAGTGCTCTCAGTAAAGCCCCACTGCTTTGCAGTGGGAACAGCACACACAGGACTTCAGGGGATGGATTTAAATCAAGGCTGTTAAAGATGGAGTGCTGAAGATCAAGAGTTTCTTAGGTGAATGGACTATCCTCTTTTCTGCACTGCTCCACCCAAAACTAATACCAAAACCTCTTAGGAATTAAGAGCCGATGAAAGGAGTGCCACTCTAAACTTTGTTCAAAATGTAATTTTTTATTTACTTGAATACAGAGCCAAGGGAGGCCTTGCTTATGTCCACTGATGGCAGACAGCTGTTACATAATCACAGAAATGAGAGCCTGTCCTCTTCCTTGACAGTGGATCTCTGACAGGACAGATACAAAAAGAAACAAAGCAGAAGAGGTTCAAGTTTTATATGTGGAAAACTTCAATTCCCAAGGGAAAAACAATGGCCAGCAGCTGCACCACAGAGGAGATGGACTTCAACTGGTCGTTACGCTGTGAGAAAACCCAGGGGGCCGTAACCGAGAAATGCCCAGTTCCACCATGGACATCCTGGATACTACACTACTTGGATCCAGAATTTCCATTGAAGAGAAAGGAGCCAGCCCACTGCACAGGACAGGCTTTTAAAGTTCAGTAAAACATAGGGAATAAATACTTGTCTGCTTCTTTGTCAACACAAACCTTTCATGCTGGAATAAAAACTAGTCAGAGGTCTGGTAAGTTGTTGCAATTTTATTTATTTGTTTGTTTATTAGTACAACCAAAGCTTTTTAGGGCATTATCATTCAACACCTAAAGAGGTGAAGATATTAATGTATTCATGAATATCTCATGTATTACTAGCTTGAAAATGAGTGAGATTTTCATGAACAGTCACCATCTTAAAAGTCTGCTGTTAGGACTAGAGGTAGGTAATTTCTTAATATAAAATTGATATTTGGAAGGTATAAATATCAGTGCAGTTATTTTGTCAGTCTAATTTACCTCTACTGGATGTAACTCAAAATGTCTGAGACCAAAAGGAGCCTTCAGCGTTGAGTGCCGACACACCCATCAGCATTACTGCACGCCCAGCAGCAGGTCACACGTGATGCATGCCACCACCCCAACTCCCAGCATCACATAAGGACTGTAGTCCTTCCTGTAAAACCATTGCATCCCCTTTCACTTAATTTTTTTTTCAGGTCCTGCATACAAAGTTGCAGGAGGACCACTCTGCTATTATATACCAGACAAGGCAATATCCTGGAATTATTTATTTTCCCAGTTCTTTTGCTGAGATACTTTGCCCTCATTTTGAGTAAACATTTACGACTCCACCAGCAATAGACAGCCTTGCTGCACAGGCTGTGAGTGAAGAAGGGATGGACTGTCCTTCTGCTTTTTCAGAAGGGGAATTCAAGCCATCTGAAACCCAGAGAAAGCTGCATTAGCTCATTTCCCCTTTCTAAACATGTCCAGCCGCAAGTGTGAAACCTGACCATGACCTATTGCTGCAGGTTCATTAACTGAGCCTGTCTGAGTCATCAGCAGGCAAATATGTCAGTGGTTATAATGTGGTCAGTACCCACAGGCTGGGTTAGCAGATAAGGTGCACCAAGGGCCTCATTCCACGGGGCTGGGAGGGGCTGTCTGATGAGGCAGGAAGGCATCTCAGCATTAGTCACCACCAGCTGGAGAGTAGGAAGGTTGGACAGGACGTGTGTTTTCAAAATGCCTCAGCATGAAGCCAACCTTGCCCCCTGCTGATATCACCAGCACAAGGTCCCAGAATTGAAGCACCTAGATCTGCATGGAGCAATTATGAAAACACAAGTGTATGTCCTACAGCACTCTGTTGCCTCCAGAATGACAGAGCATGTGCTGCTCTGAATTTATCTGCTGAATTTCACGCTGCTTCCAGGGAACAGACACTGTACTCAAATGAATTTAAGGCTTCAAAATTTTCCTTGAAAATATAACCACCTCACCCACCTGGAGCAGGATTTCCATCTCAAAGGCATGACAGGACCTTACCTCTTTGCTGGAAGGAAGTAACTATGCTGCAGCATGTCCTACCTGCCTACAGAATTACTGCTAGGACTTGCTGTAAAATACATAAATGTATACTGCATGGACAGTCATGAAAACCATAAGGGTTTCTTCATCACGGAATAAAGTTTACCATTTGTGTAAAAAATGCAGTCATCCTAAGCTCATGCCAGTAAAAGAGAAACTTCTACAATAACCTGCATCTTTGGAGATTATCCTACAGCCAGAACTGTACATCTCTTATGTTTGTGAAACTTCAAAAAAAAAAAAAGTACATTAGTCTCTTACACAATGTGGGGTGTAACGAGGACTACAGGGGACTTAAAACTAATTGCTGTAGTCACAGAATCACAGAATATCCTGAGCTTTTGACATAGCAGGACTTAGAGCAGCTTGTAGCACATTTCCATAACTGCTTCTAGATGAACAGAAGGGCATCCCCACAGCCTTCAGCAGAGAAGCTCTCACAGGTCCACACGACTACTGCCCTACAGTAGGACTGCAAGACTGAACCCATCATATATAAACTTGTGATACTCTCTCTGATAAAACATGCACTTACTACTTTGAATTAATGGAAGAAACTATAACAAGGTTTAACACTGAAATACTGACCATTTCACAGTTCATTTCATTAATGAGTATTAATCATCAAATGAAACAGTTTATCTTTTATTTAGGAAAAACATATGAATTGTGACAGGAATAACAAGAAAAATCCATTCAAATATGCAGACACTATTGTCCAATTAACCATTAAAGTAGTAACTGAAAATGAATGATTTTTTTTTCTTCCATAGTAAATAAAGTGAACCCTTTACAGAAATTTTTCCTCATTAGAAAAGCTGAGATGCATTCAGGTATCGTGAAATTCTGCTGCACTGGGAAATGTAAACAGCCTAATCATTTTAATCCCTATCATCTCCCCAGCATTGCTGCATCATATTTAGTCCTTAAAATATATTCCAAAGTAAAAGCAGCCATTCCAAATCTACACTCATTCTTTGCTTTAAGTCAATTCACAGAACTGCTGAAAAAGTAAACATTGATATTTAAAAATACAAAAGGGTTTATATAGAAGGTTTTTCTCTTATACAAAAGGGTTTGTATTGAAGGTACTTTTCTTACACAGTTATATTACACATCTCTAGACAGGCCCAGCAGGCTCTTCTCAGAACCGGATGCTTCTGACAAGATAAGAAAAATTACAAAAGTGAGTTAGTTTCATTGCAGCTTTGGATCTTATTACAACTATGGGCAGTTTGTGTTGCATTGTCCAGTTATTTAGGCCTAGATTCCACAAGCATGAAGAAGCTGAGTATTGCTTTCAATAAATATGGGATTAAATGTGTGTGAGTGGTATCTGTAAGAATTTAGAACAAATATTTACTTAAGTATAAATTCAGTGGATGGCCTAAAGCATCTAAAATCTAAACCACTGCAGCATCATATCATGCAGCCATTGCTCAGACAACATTTCTGTGACCTTTAATGGACAAGTGAGAGGGTCTCACTGACTGCAGTGCTTCCCATGGCAAATCAGAAGTTTTTCTTCAGAATATTTTCTCCTGCCACATTCAGTTTTATTACAAATATACCCAAAGCAGACTTTACTGATTTAATAAGACCACCACTGCTGTGCCTGAAATGCTCAGGGCACAGACAATTGGGATGCTGATTTGTCAGTGCCTGTCACTTTCTAACACATCATTTCACTGTCCCAATGCCACCATTTCATGTCCCAGGCTGTGTTCATGCTGTATGGATGGAGGGCCATGGCCAAGGCTGTCCCTGGTCTCCAAAAAGTTGGATGGTGCCAGGAGTAAAACCTGCAGGCTCCAGGCTTCTCCAGCCACTGCTTCATCTGACTTTATACCAGTCAAATCAAATTGCTGAAGTATCAAATACCACACTATGAGGGAAATATCTGGTTTCAAGTATTATGAAAAAACTGAAATGGGAAGAAGTACTACCATTTTCTCTGAATGAATCACAGAGACCCAAAAACATGTGGGTCAGCATTTTAAACTCAGTGATGTGATAGCATCACTGTCACTGTTCTACATCGCCACAAAAATGTCATTTTTAGGAATAAGTGATGTTAAAAATCGTGTAAGAGACAGACTTGAACATTTCGGCACTTTAAATTAAGCTGGGCTTCTCATAAGTTAATGGAAAAGAAAGAAAACTTCTAAAAGAGATCTGTTTGCCATCACAGCTGATAGCTTTACTGAGTGTCCCAAGCTCAGACAATACTGCAAAAACAGTGAAGAGCTTTTCTGGTCAATTAGAATTTCGAAATATATGGGTGTTACCAAGAACAATAATACTCTTTCACACAACCATGTCAGAGCTCTTCATAAACACTAATTCCCCCAGCTTTCAGTTGCTCTGCCTCCGAGGTATGTAATTATCATTACACATTTTTATTTTTAGGCCACATTTTCCTAGGACTGACTGTCTCTGAAATTTGAACACAGTGTGCTTTACACTCTATTTGAATAAGAAAGTGAAAACATCCTACAATTTATATGTGAGAACTGAGACAGATAAAATAATTCACAATAAAAGGACTGGTACCTTCTGACATTCAGTATTGTACCTCATCCCTCTTCTCCCCCCAAAAATATTAAGAATACTATTCCTTGACAGGCACTGACTTCACAAAACACTGAATTCTTTTACCTGGTATTGGTGATGTCTATGACATTCAGTGTAGTTTTTGCTTTATTTGAGAATTTTCTTCTTTTTCTGTATTATCTGTTGAAAGAGCAGTAATGAATGAAGGAAAGGGGAACTTCCCCAACAATTTTGTTATTGTTGTACTTAAAAAGTAAAACTTTATGAAAGCATATGAAAAGCATTAATTATCCCTTTAAACTATTAATGACAAATAAAAATGTATTCACAGCAATGTGACTCTGGAAATTACCATTTCCACTTCAACGTAAAGCAGCCTGGGATCTTAAAGAACACTAGTTTTAGAAAATGGAAATAAAATCGGCATTAGTAGAACTCCTCCTCTCTCAATTAGAAATAGACTTATGCATTTTTCTATTTCAATATGTCCAATAAAAATTCTGGCCCTAGCTAATTTTCTTCTTCAAAGAACAGTATCCCACAGGAAGGCATTATGATATGTTTAAAAAGAACCCCAAATTTTATCTTCTTGACTAAAGCATTTATCATCTATTGTTACAGGTTTTTCATTTCAGGAATGCTTGGAAGTTAACTCAAAAGAATCTTGTACCTGTATAGCACTGTATATGTGACCTGGAGCCTGATTCTGTTCTTTTTATAAATGGAGATGTTGGAAGGAAATTGTTTTTTCCCTGAAGTTGTTTGGAAGGTTTACGGTGAGGATCATTCATCACTACAAAGCCAAGCTGTTTCACCACATGGTCATTTTATACCTTCCAGCCTAGTTCTGAAGTGATTTTGGGTTCTTTAGGAATCATATGCCTTTTCACAAAAACATTTCTCTAGTTACAGGGTATGAATCCAGTTTTGGGTGACAAATTCAAACCCACACTTGTCTGTCTCTTCTTCACCATTGTTTCAAAGGCCCACAGTTAGAATTCCTCCACATGACAGCATTTAGGAATAACTGTCTTTCTACCTCATCATCTAACTTTGGCGACCCCACAGAGTTTTGGCATTATTAAATCATCCGATGTTCCAGCTTTCAGTAACTGAGAGCTTATAAGCTCAGCTCAGCTCTGCTGTGACTCTAATGCTTGCCTTCTTTCTGTCTTGACTGCTGCAACAGGGTTGATGCAGACTCCAAGAGAGATTGACTTAAAATCCTCGTAGTGAACCTGTAACTGAGCTTGTAACAGTCATTCCAGTTGAGCGTGTTGGCTTGGCTCAGAGTTCAGTGACTTGACAGGGAAACTGAAGCTATGGAGACTGGAAAGGGAATTTCCATGGAAAAGGGTGCAGAAGAACAGGAGTGTTGAGGTTTGCTGCTTTCTTTTTTTGGGCCACATAAGCAGGATTAGGGAATGAACTGAAGTTGAGAGTCTTAAAAGTGCTGAGGCACAGCAGCCTCCATCCCAGGGCTGTTGGCTATGTTGCCATCAAGCTGCCATGGACACATCAGAGAGCCCCTCTCAGGACCACACCCTTGCAAACTACCACAGCACCTCAGATTCTCCGTGCCAGTCACAGCAGAGGCAGGCACAGCCATCCAGGGCCATGCTTGACAGACTGAGGTATAGCAAAGGCAGCATTTAGAGGAGCAGAGCACACAGCAGACATCAGCATCCCAACTCTCATGTCAGTTCAGTATTCCTGAAGACCACATGCAAAAGCACAGGGGGGGATACAAAATCTACAGCCTTCTTAGTCTCACATATATAAACATACTAGGAAACATTTCTTCACCAAAAGGGTTGTCAAGCTCTCCAACAGGCTGCCCAGGGAAGTGGTGGAGTCACCATCCCTGGAGGGATTTATAAGCTGTGTGGATGTGGCACTTGAGGAGATGGTTTAGTGGTGGGCTTGGCAGTGCTGGGGGAACAGTTGGATTGATGTTCTTATATGGCTTTTCTGACCTAAATGATTCTATGATTCTATCTGAAAAAGAAACAACTCGAGTATATTCTTGGACAGTAGGAAAGTTGGATGTTTTTCAGAGCTTAAGTTCTGGAAGAACAACAATATTCCCCTCCCTTGCCCTCAACATGGTATATCAAGACAGCATTCAGAGTTTCTGATGATGGCCATCACTCGCATCAACTGTGGAGACTGCTGCACTGAATAATTAGATGCATCACTCAGATATGAACAATCTCTCAGAGCCTATCCATCGTGATGACTCACGTGAACAATAGTTCATAAAATTCCTTTGTAAAATTACTTGAATAATAAGTTTTGCACAAGTATTTTTCCCATGATGCAGCATGATATTAATGAAGAAATGTTCTGGGAACCAATAAAAGCCATTTTTTTGGTTTTGATTGACCTGGCTTCTTCAAAAAAAAAGGTAAACTTTGTTCAACATTACTTAAAAATATTTGTTGATAATAACTGAAGAAGAACACTTACCTCCTAGAGATACTTCTATTCTGCTTGTTTCAGCTGGCTCTTAAATGAAAAAAATACAGTCAAATGAATATGAATATAGTTTCAACAAGATGAATCAGATTAGGGAAATTAAGTTTTCCCTGAAAAAAAGCAACTAATTTTTGTTTTAACAATCAGACTCGTATCTTTTTGTCTGAGATAAATCTGTGTAACTTTCTAAAGTCTGCAGCAAATTATAAGCAATCTCAAACAGTTATTACATTCAACTATTTAACACTTTCTCTTCAAGAATGGTTTGCTGTGGCAGACATACCACCAAGTCGCAGCACAATGTAATGTGCAGTTGCACAGAATACACCCAGTTCGGAACAGCTTGAAAAGAGTCATCAGTCCTGATGAGCACTGTCTTGGATGGTGAGTATTAGGGGAGAGTGGGAAAATGCAGAATACAGGACAAGAAGTATGTTTTAATTCCCCGATTAGTCTCTTCTATTATCTCTGCATGGTTTAGACATGAACAGGTTCTGGGAAAGCCATTTAACCTTTTTAACGCTGCGGCTGTGTTAGGGACAGACAGACCATATCAAGCTCACAGACCATCAGCAGCTGATTTCCTCCCTCCCACACCTTCACATATAAACAGATGAGCCAGTAGTTTCCTTTATAATAATTTTCATCATACAAGTGTCCCTTACTCTTAAAATGTTTATAGAATGTTTTCTCTTAGTTTCCCAATTTCATCCTGTAATGGTTTATTCGGTCAATTGCAAAAGTTTTTCCCCACACTACACCAACTTGGGATACACATTTTTAAAAGGTCTGTGAGCATTTAGAAGCTATACTGGATCAAAATGAAGTCGCTCAACCACATTTACTCCAGTTATTAATAGCACAAAGCTGAGTTCTCCCTTCAGACTAAGACAGGTGACATGTGTGCAGTCCCAGACACAGTCTAGCAGGGGTTACAGGTCTGCAGCAGGCAGAAAGTCCATCCAGACCCCATTGCCAGTTATGCAAGCAAACTTCACTTGGCTGAACATCTATCTGGTTCAGATATGCACACATTTGAGTTAAGAAGACATCAGTAAACAGATACCGAATTGGCTTTATATATCACCCCTACTAATCCTTCTTTTCAGCTCACTCATCATCTGCAAAAATCAAATCAAGGAACATACCAATGACAAAGCTCGAAGAAAGCGGAGGTTCTTCCCATTAAATTATTAATATTTAACAGCTACAAAAGTCCCTGTTGCACACAATCAGTCAAATGATATGGTTCATCATGAACAGCGTATACCCAGGACTTGACTATTAATGGCATCTGCCAATGAGCTGGAGAACTCCATAACCCACCGCTCCTGCAAGGACATACTTCACACTCTGCATCACCTGGTAATGCTGGGGCTGTTGCTGTTGGTGATGCTTCTGCTTCTGCTTCAGCTTCTTCCATCAGATCTAAGATTAGACACAATCACCATTTCACTTCACAATGAAAATGGTTCACATGTAACACAAGGGCAACCTCTGAATCTGCAAATCCTGAAACTTGTCACATGAACAGGTTACTAACAGTTGTGATTGAGTTGCTGTTCAGTATATTCTGGTACAGAAAAAATGTTCCCTATTTTGCTTGCAAGCACCAAAAGCTTCAAGTTTCCACATGTTCTTCATATGAAGAACAAAGCATCATACCTATAAGCAGCAGGCTCAGAGCCTTTCATTCACCTTGGTATCCATCAGTACCAGATCATTTTCATCATAATTAGTGGACACAAATAATGCTCAAACCCCACACGATCAATGACCAGTCCCCAGTCCCAACATATGCTGACAAATTGGCCGTGGCACTTCAGCTAAGTACACTTGTCTCTCTAAACAGTTACAGTTTCAGTAGAATGCAGAATTTTTCACTGGAACAGGGTTGTGCAGCTACTGTAAAGTTCTTGCTTTTTAACAGCTAATGTGATGGATCTAAACGTACAGTGTAAGCACTCTCATGTTCTGTTGCTAGGTCAGGATCCTAAATCTCTTTGTGACTCTGCAGCTGAAAAATACAAACTCAGTGTCTCACATTTTCATATGAAAGTTATGCTGATCTTATGCTGTTTAAATGTAAATTTACCCTCATGCCCTCAAGTTAATTGTATATGCAGTCAGGAAATCTAAATAAGAAAGACACAGTTATACCGAGACCTTACTGACTATGGAGTCTCTACCACTAAGCCACAATGTAGAAAATTATTCTTAGTAGGTTACAAAACTACATTTGTCATCAGTGTCCCATAAATACTTACGATTGTTAATCACAAGTCCTGGAAATGGTCTGAAAAAAAACCCAAACAAATTACTGATTCTAAGATGCACTGCAGGGGGTCTCCTCCCAGTGCAACCTCCCCACCCTTTCTGTAGCAGAGGTCATGCTAAAAGTAAAAACAAACTCACATAAAACAGATGGTATAGCAGCTCTTGGGCGCTGTGGTTGTTCAAATCTAGTGTTTTGAAAAGTAACACAGGAAGAGATAAACCCTTCCCTTGGTCACCACTGGTTAACAAGGGGTCATCTTTTCTCCAGAGCTCCAACGACACACATCAAAGTACTTTTGGTTAGAACATGTCATATGATTAACAGTTGAGAATTCAGACCCCCTAGTAAAATATACTTAAGAAATTTCTCTCTTTAAAGATAAACTGAAGCTTTTAGACTCCTGTAAAGTCATCTATGATTTGACGAGTTACAGAAACTGATAAATTTTTATTTTCAATTCCTCCTTAGTATGATTCAAAAATTTAATCTATTCTGTTTCATGCATACAAATTAACTTTGTATATATTTGTGTTTTGCATACATCTATGGAAATATACACATATAAATGAAATTCCATTATACTGTAATTGAACAATATTGTATTATAAAATCTTGTAGATACACTCATTTTGTGGGGAAAAAATTATCAAAGAATTTACCTGAACTCACGATTCTTAACACAACTGGAATATTTAAAAATACTAACAGTAATACTAATACAAACATACTATTTACTGTTAAGAGCCAATAAGCTCTGGACTTTACTCATGCTAGAAACACCTGGACTTTATTTGACCTGATATACTGTTATCCAGAAGAGCCTCACACTATTTAAAGATGCACTGAAACTCACATTTCAATTTATTCCAGCTACAGGGCTGTGCTCACAGCACCTGCACAGTCTAATCAACAGCAACTACATACCGAGTAACAGTAAACTTGATAAGTTCTGCTGATTCCAAAATCTTCTTCATGGAGCTGATTTCCAGGTAACTGGGTGCTTTGAACTCCACGCCGGGAGGCATTCCCTCCACCACCACACAGCCAGGGTTGGCTGTGATTTTTCTGTATGGAACTTTCACAGGAAAATTCATACCAGTGGCTTCACCTAAGTGAGAGAGGTCATGCTTATTTTCAAGCCTTATAATATTTATGATTACACTGAAGAAAAAAGTCCTCAGATGATTGACAAATGCAAACCCAAGCTTTCTATCAGATCTGAAATTATGAACATTCACTTGACAATGAAACCATTACAGTGTTAGAAACAGAGGTGCTGGATTATATTCATGAGCATTAGTCACAACTCCAACTCTGACTGCTCACCATATGAAGAACATAGATTCTGCTTTTACTAAAAAAAAGTATAGAATGGGGTATAAAAGGAAATAACTACATGAAGGAAAATAAAGCATTTCCTGTGAGGCCATGAAAAGAATTCAACACAGCACAAGTGAAGGAATTTCAGATAAAGAAACTCAGGTCATTATTGCTGTACAATGCAGAGTAAAAAATCCAAAGAAAACTATACCCAGCAGAAAGGTTTCGTTGCATCTTTAAAATTACTCTATTCCCAAGTATTATGAGTTTGGGATTATGAAGCCCTAAGAAGAACCATGGACTGCCAGCAAAATAAATACTTCATCCATGTTGACAGAGAAACAAACAGGAAAATGGAGGGGAACTATGAAGCAATCTAGACTCCTATGATTTTATTCTTTAAAACACCAAACTACCTACATCACTTACAAAAGATTCTTTTCTAAGTCAAAGCACAACATTCATACACAATTCTCAAATTTGTTCATTTTAATGATCACATATATAATTCACTGTAAGTGAATACTCATTCAGTAACTTCAGTATCAACAACATTATTACACCCACACCTATGTAAAAACATGGAATAAGAAGCAATTACCAAATTTCTGGCTAAAAAGATCATTTACTTGCTCTCTCAATTGTTTGGCCATTTCTGCTTTTGACAGTCGCTCACTTTCATCATCTGGAAGAAATTGTTAGAATAGGATAAGAATTAAGCACAAATGTTTTTACCCCTGAAGCTTGTTTATTCCTGCGTATTTACTCAAAGCAGATATACCTGAAGGCTTCAAAACAGACGCTGTCTTTGCTCCTCATTTTATCAGTAACACAGAATTGCAGAAATATACAAAAATAGATGGTTACTAAGAAATCAGAGAATCCTAGAATGGTTTGTTTTGGAAGGGACCTTAAAGCTCATCCAGTTCCACCTCCTGCTAAGGGCAGGGAAACCTCCCACTAGAGCAGGTTGCTCCAAACCCTGTCCAACCTGGCCTTGGACACCTCTTCCAGGGATGAATCTAGGTTTACTGTCTAGAGATGATTTTGTAAACTTAATCTGAACCAACAAATTGTATTTTAGTTTCTTACAGAACACAGAATGGTGGGGAAAGGTAAAAGCAAAGTGACCATTCAATAGATGGCCATTTCTCATGGTTTCCAGTGAATTCCAATGCATGTACAAAATGCCTGAGAAAGCAGTAATCAATGTTAAGACAAAGTAGTTCAGTCTGAGTGGTTATTCAATTCAGTCTGAGTACTGAGCTCTTGAATTTGCCAAGAATTGTAAATCAGTATTTAATATATTGCATGACAAACGTGGATACTTCGTAACTAATTGCTGGACCAAAAATATTCTAGAGATGTCACTGAAGAGATATTAATGATTATTAGAAAATATTTAACATCACAGTAAAAACAAAATGCTAAATGCTTTGTTGACTGTACTTGCATTTCAGTGAACCAGCTGGACTGTAGGAAAAAATGTCATCGAACTAAATAAATGTCATGAAGAATACAAGCACAAATAGTATGATGTGTAACCAGCCAGTATATACACTTGGTATAGTTATTTGAATCATGTTCAGGTCTTCAGCAACAGCAGTTGTGTTCACCACTATGTTTGTTGTGGTTCTTGCTGTATTGGCTATATCAGATGAATTAGTTTTTTGTAAAAGGATTAATTCAGAAAACATTTATAGAGAGCTCAAAATCTTCAATCTCTTATATAAAGAAAATATTGCAAAACAACAGATATTGGCAAAGTTTTCAAAGAGAATCCAGTTTCAAGACAGGAGTATTTATTCCATGACCTACCTACCTACCTGACACAATTCTCTACTGCTTATCTGCACACCTGTCTCTTAAGCATTTGTCATTTAGATGACCTACATATTAGGAGCAAATAATTTATCTCTAAACCTGAATTACTCCTGTGAATCATACATTACTGGCTACAATTTGATAAAAAGCAGTAAAGAATACATTAGGAGCATCATTATTGTGAATAATTTAAAAAAATTAATACTCCCTTGCTAGAACTATATTTAAACTGTGAGTAGTAAGTGCCTTTCCCTTCTTAGAAACAAACTATCAAGGAAACGAACCAAACAACAACAATGCAGAATGCATCTTTCAGGAATTTGTTAACACCATGCAGCTCAATCCTTGAAAGAAACTGTAATCTAGAACATGAAGCAATTGCAAAACTCACTTTGGGGGCTTCTAGCAGAACTTTCTTTAATAGCTGCCTCCAGCATCTTAGGCCTGCAAACAGATCCAACATTTCACATACAACAATAAAATTACATCATCAACATTATAGAAAAAGCAATTTTCTAGTACTATTTTATTAAGACGGGAACTAAATGATATCCTCTCAGCCAAACCAACAGTCAAGAATGCAATGACTGAGAGGCTCCATAACTTCTTAGAATCACAGAATGGTTTGGGTTGGAGGAGACCTTAAAGACCATCTCATTCCATCCCCTGCCACGGGCAGGGACACCTTCCACTATCCCAGGTTGCCCGAAGCCCCATCCAACCTTGCCTTGGACACTTTGAGGGGTGGGGCATCCTCTGGGCAACCTGTGCCAGGGCCTCACCAGCCTGGTGAGGGAAAAATTTCTTCCTAATATCCAGTCTCACCCTGCCCTATCAGTTTAAAGCCATTCTTCCTTTTTCTTTTACTACATGCCCTTGTAACTTCTCTTGCCACTATTTCTACAATGGCACATGGATATCTAAACCTGTTCTAGACAAGAAAAAGGAAATTCTAACACACCCCAATATATGCATCTCCACTTCTTAGCTCTTAGTACACAGCCAGCAAGTTTTATGAGTAACCTGTAAGTGCTCCCTGCAGTAGGAACTAAACCAGTGATGTGATAATTGTAATGGGCTAAGAAATCTGGACTTGTTCTTCCTCTCACAACAGGCTGTAAGAGTCTTTCAGAACAAAGAGAGTATTGTATCTTGCTCCACCTCTACAAGAGCTTTCTGACCATTTCCTCAATTACTAAATATATTCCAGTGTTATTTTATAGAGTAATTTAGCAACTTCCCAACACAATTTCATTTTTTGGTCTACATTTCAATACCTGTAGAACAGATTATCAAAGACATATAGGAGTCTTACTTTTTAATAATGAATTTTATTTTAGATTTGTTTCTCAGGATCTTCTCTAGTCTTGGAATTCCAAAAGTTGAAGGTTGGCGGAAAGGTACTCCCTCAGGTAGTCCTTCCACGTAGAAAAGCTCCGGGAAGGATTCAAACAGTGAAAATGGCACCTGCACTGGTTCACTGAGTCCTAGTGCTTCCCCTGAAATGCAACAGAGCAAATAAGCTACTGGTTTGGTAACTCATGTGTATAGAAACAGAAAACCTCTGCTATAAATAGTATAGCATAGTTGGCACATACATAACTAGATTAGGCAGAACCAGGAGGCTTGCCTTTTTTGGTGACAGATATCAAAAGGCACAAAGAAAATTAACAGTTTCAGACATAACTCATTCTGTTGCAGTAAATCTCATCATGATTTACTGCAAATTAGTAATTTGCAACCAGTTCATGCCACTGGCTTGGTCTGCATACAAGACTATCCCATATGTATCTCACTTTGTTACAAGCAATGCATTGTCTCTGTCTCTTCAAGAGAACAGTACTGAGGGCAGTGAGATCAGTGCTCTTCTTCAAAAACCTGCACTCAGAAGAGTAATCAGAAACCATTACTTCCAAAACTCATTAGTTTCCAAACAGCCTGTACTAAAGGAAGTGCTGAAATATGACAGAGCACGTCTCTCCAGATACCATCCATAACGTATTGAGTCCTGCAGTCATGCAAAGTCCCATTCATAAGCAGAGCGAAGAAAGCTTAAAAATTTTAGATGTGCCAGGATGTGGATCACTGTATCTCTGGGTCATTAAAGAAGTCATAATCCAACTAAAACTTCTCCATTTCCAAACCCAAATAAAATAACTAGTGGAAATATGACACAGGATGCCAAGCAAGTACATGAGAATGAACTCAGATGGGGAACTGTGTAGGGTACACAAGAATTGCAGGACCTCTGGACTAAACGTGAACATCTCTCATACATCTAACTGCATGTTCATTAGAAAGGCTTCTCAGTAAAAAAGAATCAATAAACTTACCACATTTTTCATTAAAAAGGTCTTCGACTTTCTGCTTTAACACAGAAATTTTCTCATTCCATGCCTCTGCCAGGAGGAAATTGAAAGTATTAAATCAACACTCACACAATGAATCAGCCTTCAAAGAATATTTTAGAAAATGTTGAATTAATTATTATGTTTTACTATGGCAGTAAAATGTGCAAAATGGCTTTCATTCTGTAAAACTATATTCACATCAATCCTCATTTTCCTGAAGCTTTGAAAGATACTGCTATGAGATAAAGCAAGGGCGATTAAAATTAATCCAAGAGTGATCCAAATTTACAGTATCAGGCAGCATAAAATTTACTTATCTGAACCAGCTTCCAAAATAGTGGCACAAAGCTATTCATATGTTCAGTGACACAGCTCTGAAACGCACACCTCTCTCCTGAGATCTATAATCTCTAGCACAGTTTCTACTTCAGTGGGTGAGAGTAGATGTCCATCGAGATAGGCATTTTGTTTCTGACAGCCGTCAGAGAAATCACAGAGTCACAGAATACTCTGAGTTGGAAGGGACCCACAAGGATCGTCAAGTCCAAATCCTGGCCCTGCACAGGACTACTCCAAAGAGTTGCACCACATGCCTGAGTGTATCATCCAAATGCTCGAGCTCTGTCAGCCTTGGTGCTGAAAGAGCACTGGAGAGCCTGTTCAGTGCCCAACCCCACTATGGGGAAAGAACCTTTTTCTAAGATCCAACCTAAACCTCCCCTGACACAACTTCATGCCATTCCCTTGGGTCCTGTTTACTTGTGGCTGCACTAAGTGGTCTGTGGCTGGTCTACAAAGCTAAAAACTCAGTTTAAAGTTTGAAAAGAAAAAAGCAATAGCAAGCAAGTCCAAAAAAACTGAACACACTGAGTATGATTATCAGCCAGGTCAAAAGGAGCAGTCATTCCACATCAGTATCTTACATTCATTCTCAACTGGCTCAGTAGGACTAAAGTATTCCTTTCTTTCACATTCTTTGACCATAAGCAAATAAACTCAGAATGTAAGGATGCTAAAGAAAAGTTTTACTGAGACACAGAACTGCTTACAGTTACTCTGAGTGCAGTCACTCATCTCACTTGACTATCAAGAATTTATCTGAGTTGCAAATTGATGCTGCTTTCAATACAGAGATTTCTGTGCCAGAGCATTAAACAGACAGGCCTGGCCTTTAAGTCCAAAAAGCTCCAGTCAACACTCACAAACACAACTATATGGCTTCCAGTTCTGTCCAGCTTTTCCTTTACTGATTTTACAGACTTGGACTAGGCAATCATGCATAGCTGGTGAGGCCACACCTTGAGTATTGTGTTCAATTCTGGGCCCCTCAGTTCAGGAAAGACATTGAGGTGCTGGAGTGGGTCCAGAGAAGAGCAACCAGGCCGGTGAAGGGACTTGAGTACAAGTGCTGTGAAGAGAGGCTGAGGGAGCTGGGGTTGTTTAGTCTGGAGGAGCCTCAGGGGTGATCTCATCACTCTCTACAACTACCTGAGAGGAGGTTGTAGCCAGGTGGGGGTCGGTCTCTTCTCCCAGGTAGCCAGCAACAGGACAAGAGGGCACGGGCTTAAGCTGTGTCAGGGGAGGTTTAGGTTAGATATTAGAAAGAAGTTCTTTACAGAGAGAGGGATCAGGCATTGGAATGGCCTGCCCAGAGAGGTGGTGGATTCACCGTCCCTGGAGGTTTTTAAGATGAGGGTGGATGTGGCACTGAGTGCCATGATCTGGAAATCACAGTGGGGTTGGATCAAGGGTTGGACTTGATGATCTCGGAGGTCTCTTCCAACCCAGTTAATTCTATGATTCTATGATAGCTAGCTCTGATAGAGCATGGCTTACCAGTGTTAGTTAAAATCCTTCCTGGTTTCTACAGGAATGGTATGCCTCCACAGGGATGTCAATATTTCAAATTTGTTGAGTGCTTATGATATTTATACACTATATCATATCTTAGCTGGGTTTATGCACTTTGGTGGTACTTGGCACCAGAAAAGTCTTCAAGGGTCTGAAGCATCGTGCAGTAAAGACCAGCAAAAACCTAATGGGCCTGACTGAACCCAAAGATCTAACAGACCTGTGCTGAATTTGTACAGCATTCTCCATACATCATTTAGGATTTTTCTAATATTATTACTCCACATGTTGAAGAACTGAATGTACATGAAAGCAAGACCTTCAGTCATTTGATAACTGTACAACAAAACTGAATTCAAAATATCGGATATGTCATCAGAATGTTCCACACCAATATTAAAAGAATGCACCTGTGCAAATTCCCACAACACTTACGAAAGGAGAAGTCTTTTCCTTGTGGCTTGAAACTTATATTGGAGCCATTGGTTTGAGAATTAGTTTGAGTATTTGTTGTTTGTGCTTTCGTAGGACCTGTGAAGAGACATTACATATATACATGCAGAGAGCAGAAGCAAGACATCATATGAAAACAACACATCAAAGTTGATTACTGGAGAAATGTTAACTTCTGAATTAAGAGTAGAATAAAAAACCCCCCTTAAGATTTTCGTCTAGGATTGTATTTAAGCATTTGATACTACTGATCACATCTGCCATTTCTGCCTAGGGCTACGGCAGTTCCCACATCTCTGCTTGGAATAATGGGCCCAAGCAAACTGTCAAAATGCCAACATTCTACCTAAGCATCATCTACACAGAATCCAGTATTATTCAGAAACAAAAAATAAAACTGTATCTGGAGCCTTGAAATGAAACAGTTTGCTACATGAGGCAGGCGTACAAGTTATTTATGGACTACAAAAGCCGAGAAGATCAGAAAACATAAGAAGAATAAAACAGAAGAGCATCAGAAGAATGCTTAATGATATTTCTTCCATACTTTCATCAACAGTAACTTCAATCTCTGGGACATCTGAATTGCCTGCAGGACTTTGTGACCTTTGGGAACGCCCTGGACTCCTTTCTGGAAGCCAAGAGAACACAAGGTGTAAAGCACAAACCCTCTACAACATATATCCTGCACAGCTAACAAAAAACCCCAGCTGTATTCCAAAAATTCCAACAGACTGAACTAAGTACACTGTAAAACCTGAACAATACAGTGATGCTGACAGCCTTAAAAAGGAGGTTTAGCGCTCTTGAAAAAGGCAGGTATCATACCTAAATTTTCACTCCACTAATTCAGAACAGAAGACTTCATTGTTTCTAAGGGTGAAGGACAGTTTGGGTACGTTTTATTATCTAAATAACAAAAAATTATTAACATCTGAATTTTTTTATAGGCAACTTCAAGGATTTTTTTTTTTTTATAAAATATAATTTTACTTACTGCAGTTCACAGCTCTAAGTTAAATATATTTTAAGCCATTAAAAGCAAAATAAAAGTTGTCAAAATTGGGTAAATTCCATTCTCTGTACTAGGATAGTCAAGTAAAAAAAACAGATGAATTTATGGATTGAGTATCTTTTTCAAATAATAGCATTTGAACAGGCTACTCTTCTAGATCATCTTAATGCCTTTCATTTGCAACACCCATATTTTCCAACCACAAGATCTTTCCGTCTGCTAGGGAAGCAGAAACTAAGTATTTAGGAATTGATGGCAGCAAATTGTTTACCTTTTCCGTTTATTTTACTAGCCAGTTTTCGAGGCAAAGAGGAAGCGACAAGCTCAGGTCTAGAAATTGGACAGAACACAACCCGATCAATTACAAGTCAAATAATACAGCAAAATGTTAAAATTTCTTGGAATTCAGTTGAGTTCCAGTGCACATAACATCAGGTCTTTTCAACAAAATTCTGCTAGAAGCATAGATGACTCTATAAGCACAAAAAAACCCCAACCATAAAAGCTACATTTTCTTATCTGTAACTTTCTTCTGGGTCTATTTTAAGCAAAACTAATAAAGAAAAAGAAAAAAAATAAGAAAAAAAGCTTCCAAGTACAAGACCATTTCCACTTCCCTAGACCCTTGATGCGTGAAACACCCAATCTATACATCTACAGAAGTTTAATGAGGAATGTATATCCTTTTATGAGATAAAACATATGTCCAAAATGGTCTTTCTGTTTCATGCAACCAGAATTTAGGCAGCATTTAAAGCCTAAAGTTGCTGGGAATAAAATCAAATAACTTCAAAATCATGAGTAAAAATAACTGAATTGCAAACATACTTTTTAATAACAAATTTGATTTTGTCACTCGCACGGATAATTCTTTCAAGGCGTGGAATTCCAAACCATGTGGGACTCCGGAAGGGGATTCCTTCTGGCAAGCCTTCAACACACAAATATGTAGGATTTGACTCAAACAGAGAATAGGGAACTTTCACTGTCTCTGAAGTCCCCAGAGCTTGGGCTGAAAATAAAGATTAAATGACAGATTACACACTCAAATGGGTGGAATTTTATCTCAAGTGACTTTAAGAACCTTGGCTTACAGAAGCTCTGCTACTCAGAGCTAATAAAAAACCCTAAACAACTGAAATATCTAAATAGATTTAAACAGATTTCCTATTATTTTCTGAAGAATAACTGCAAATGGGGACTTGGTCCATCTTGTTACAGGTAACATCTAAGCCTGCAGTGCCTAACATTTTCTTTTAAGAATTTTTTTTCATCCAAAAGCTTTTATGCACATACCATAATCTCTTGTCACATGATTGGAAAAATTATGGCCTAGGATGCTGCTATAAAAATATTTATGTCAGTTATAGGATAGAGTCAGTAAAACATATGTAAGAGGAGTCAAGATTTCCTTATCTGTCCTAGCATATTTCTGATGCTTAAGTAAGTACAGTAACATTTAAACAGAGGACTTTTAAAATGCAGCAGCATTACAGAGTGGTTCATTTAGCATTTAACTTACCAAATTTCTTACTAAATATCTCTTCTACTTGGTTTCTTAGGTTTGTGATCTTGGCATTCCAATCTTCTTTCTCTGAAAACCAGAAATAGATACATCAGAGAATTACTCAGTTCTAGGTACAGAGGTACATTTGAACACATTTCTTCCAACATAAGAACTTGAAAACTATCAACACAATCACATCTGAGGAGACAGGGATACACAGTGATTAATGATTACTAATTGGAGATTAATAGTACATATAATTCCTTCTATATAATGGAAAATCTGTTTAAATATAGTTACAAATTTCAAACACTGACCCAAGTGGGAGAACTTGTTTTTCAGATGCAGGAAGAAATTATTTTAGTGGTTCTTACAAAGTTAGAAATAATTAATCATAGTGTATAATAAATAACACACTTTAGAGCAGAAGATGAGGATTTAAACACTGCTTTGCTTAAACATTTTGATTAGCATAAAAAAATCATCTTCAGTAGTATTCTCTTTCATAAATAAAAGCCAATTACAGAAGTGCCAGCTAGCACAGACAATCTGTAGCTTAGATAGAGAAGAAAGCAAAAGATGTGATAAAAAAAGCACTTATTTTCTGAAGAACAGCATCATACTTCACTAAGTTTCATCACAATCCACAAATAACAAGTAACTGCTACTGAGACAAACCCATTCATTCCAAGCTGTGGAATGAATGCAGGGAGGAAGCTATACAGAAATTTTTTGTTTCCAAATCCTAATTTTGACTCAGAAATTACCCACCTTGCTTATTTCTAATGTCTGATACTTCCATGCATTATTAGTTTTTTGCAGTCTGGACTAGTTATTTGATAGATTTCACAGGTATTTAACACCTGCATGTATGTTTGTACTTATTCACAACACATTGTAGTCTCAGTGGCAAAGCAATTAGACTAATTTACTTTAAAACACTGAAGTGTTATTCACAAACTATCTGTTGAGAGCACAAGATTAATTTTGCAAAAGAATAATGTTTTTGCTTAAAAGAAGTCTAATATTCTTTAGCAACATCAAGGTTGCAACTGCAGTAAGAAGATCTTTGGTCTTTGTCTGGGAAAGTGGTTTTCACTGGCCTCTAAGCCCAGGAGAACATTTACTGTGTTTGCCTGTCTGATATCAAACCCTGGCCCTGGTGAGCTTTGTGAGCACTGGTAATTCCAGAATCACTTATAAGTCAGTGAAAGATACAGTGAAATAACTCGTAAAAAAAAATACTACTCTGAACATTCAGTCTGAGGGTTAAGAATCATCACTCCTCACCTGTTCTTTCAGAAAGAGGACTTTATTAGCTGTTTTTTTTACTGCTGTCATTGGCACCTGCTGTTACTACTTTGAAAAAAGCCTCAATGCTACCTTTTCCTCTGCTCCACAGTGAACCCTGCCTTTTCTACTGAGCTACTCTCTTACTGAATATGAGTTTTTTCCTAAAATCCAAATAAAATCCACAATACGTTGTGATGATATAACTACTGCTTACATGATTATTAAATCGTATTCCTCCTTTTTTTTTTTCTCTTCATGTGAGCTATGTGTGTAGAAAAACATAGGAAGTCCTGGATATCCACTTGTATTATTACAAGCAGATTCATATTCCTCTAAAACCCAACAAGACCTGGACTGCATACTCCTGGAGCGAGAAAGTGCCAATACACTCCAGTTCAGGGCATTTGGAAATAAACACCAAAATGATTCTTCCCCCCTGTTAAGGCACTTCATGCTTTGAAGAAGCTCCTACAACAGAGCTTCCTTACCAGCAGAGGCCTGAAAAGAGCCCAGGATCAGCTGTGAAATGCCAAGGGCCTTCAGAGCTTTGATTCAGGCCAGGACAGCAATTCCAGTTCCCTGGGGATGTGAAGGTGACTCAGTGTAGTTTTCAAAGGCAGCTGGACTGCACCATGATCCCATAATCCAGGAAGCCATCCATGTTCATAGTGATCAATTTACTCCTTGCAGCCCCCATGAAGAACATGCCAACACACTCATCACATAAGGGTTACTTGAGAAATGCTGCACTGATTCACCAAACCCTTCCATTCCCACTTGGAGACAGCATCTGTCTTACCTGTTGAATTCAACCTGGGCTGAGTAACTCCGGTTGAAGTGAGAGTTAGCAGCTCTGGTCTGCAACAAGGACACAAATAATCTGATTATTCTTGACATAAACATTACTACCTATCATGACATGAATTGAAGAGTTTGAATTTTCTATTATGTTTTTCACACGTGTCAACATGCTACAAAGGTATTTTGGAATACTTGTCTGGATTGCAAATGCCCACTTTATAACACAGAATATTTAATTTGCCTATTTGGTAACTAGAAACCAAATGCTTCATGACTTCATGAAATCCAGTGCTTGATTACACATAGGGTGTTTGCTTGGCCTCTTTTTTAAGAAAACCTCCATGTTTAGGCATTAAACAAATACTTACCTTTTGATCACAAATTTTATTCTCTTGCTCACTTGAATTATTTGTTCAAGGCAAGGGATTCCATACCAGGAGGGACTCCTAAAGGGGATGTTCTCTGGCAGCCCTTCAACATAGAGGTCACTTGGGTGAGCTTCAAATTTCTTGTATGGAACAACTTTGGGCTCAGTGCTCCCCAAGGCCTTGGCTGTTGGAACAAAATACATCCAGTAACTGGACAGATTGGCCAATCAACCTTCATTAAAAGCTAGCTGATACCAATTACTCAGGCTATTGCAACTGTGATCTCAGAACCTGGGACAATGCAGGACATCTAAATCCAAGTCTCAGCACATCAAAAATGTAAAAAATTTGCCATATTGTATCATGTTCTTGCTGGGCAGACAAAATATCGGACTGAAGATTACTGGATTGCTCAATGGGGCATACTACAGTGGTTTTATCCAAAGTTTTTGGTCTATAACAGAGCATTATGCAACGTTTCATTCTAGCTCTTAGGAAGTTGACTATTTTTTCATATTGGAGAGAATATAAAAATTCACCCAGAAATGTTCTAACACTAATTTTAATGATACTGTAATAGACATAAATAAGTAAATGGCTAGTTGATTCACCATCAAAGGAAAAATATCCAAATAGGAGGGAATTGAGAGCAACAGAAGAGCTGCATATACGACTTGTAATTTTTTTTATTAAACTATGACTTTACCTTGTGTAAGCAGTAAACTAAAACATTCTTTTTCACTCAACTGCCGGAATTTTAAATATTTGAAAAAAACCTGTGATCCAAAGTCTCATTCATGTAAATGTTCAAAGGAAGGAATGAATACAACCTTCAAGAAATACAAAGCTATACAGAAAAGAAAATAATGTACTCACCAAACTTTTTACAGAAGAGTTGATCTACTATCTTTCTCAGTTTGGTGACTTTGCCATGCCACTCCTCTTTTTCTGTATTTGAGATTGACAAAGAACGAAAACAACATTCCTTCATTATTTTGGTTATATTTTCAGTTGTTAAGTTTACAGCATGCATAATCATCCTTCATTTTCAGGTAACACAGAAAATGCTGTGTGGAAGAAGCATGTATTCAACTTGGAACTAAAAAAATAATCATTAAAAAATGACATAATATTAAAACTGAACAAAAATCCACTGAACCAGTGACATCCCTTCCTACAAACCAGACAAGAATTACAAAGTTTTCATCATCTACCTCAAATCTGCAGTCCCACTTGGAGATGGGATTAGATTTTTGCCAGTGTCATTCTCTGAAGAATTATCTTGATATTCAGTGCAGAATTAGGCATGCCTATGGAATGAAAACCTGCTTACTTCTTCTGAATATGTCTTTGTGACCAGTAAGTCAAACTTATTAGTGAAGCCTGTACAAGACACTGGCCAGCTGCCACGCTGTGGGTTTAGCCAGCACGCAAAAGCAACAACTTGAGCTCCATAACTGCACTCCCCAGGCTGGGCTATCAGCAGAAGCACCAGCTCACGCTTCTCCAGCCATTCCTGAACCACACCATCACTGCCTGACTGGTTTGTCTTGCAGCCAGTATCAGTCTGTTAAGGGTTTCAGGACTGAAGCCATTCCACAAAACCTTCCTGACTAGACTCTTCCCACAGGAATGCAAATGCAAATCATCATTTCCTCTGCCAGTCAAAATACAGGTTCCATACTCATGCCATTCCTCTCCTGCTGGGGATACAAGCTAGCAGGTACTACGGACAGAGCAGGACATTGGACATGGAGCCAATGTCTTTTAAGATGGCAGTGGACGCATGGAGTAGCAGAGGAGACAATGAACTACTAGGAAAGGGGGAATCCAGACAGGAAGAAAAGAAAACTGAGGGAAAGGAGACTCAGACATCCGCTGTCTTCTGTGTTCCCTGAGATGTTACTGACAGCTCCCACAGACGCTCTCTTCTCTTAGAAAGGATGGAGAGGTCACACATGACTATCACTACAAGTTGCTGATGACAAGCAATGTAAGAAACTGTTCATAACCCTGTGCCATAAAAATCGCTTATCACTGGTTTTCTTAGCTACAGGTGTCTTATGAGGTAAGTAATGTACTCGCTTTGCCTTTGTAAACAGTACTAACATATTAAATATGACTCAAACAACAGAGAAAAGGGCTAACTCGACCCAGATCAGAGTACACTTAACCTTAAGTGTAAAGGTTAAGAAGGTTACCTACTATTTTTGTAGTCAAATTTGCTGCTTGCAGGAACAGTAGGTTATTAATACTCAAAACACTAGGTTAACCTGTATTTCAGGAAAAGTTTAATTCCTGCACACATGTTACAGACACCTTCTTATGACATAATTGCTTTGCTTAATTTATATCCTTAATATTCACCTTAGTTGTGTCTTTGATATACTTTTTACAACAGAAGACTACAATAAAGCCTAATGGTGCTGCACTAGTGCAAACAGTACTGTCCATATGCTTGTTTTACTGTCTGAACTAAGGACTTCTCTGGTATTACTAAAATTCACAGTTCAGCCAGGATGAGGGTGCCACTTATCATTCTGGCTTTGGGAGCAATTTCTTTGCAACTGTTTTTTCAGACATAGAAGCTTTCAATACTTTGTTTAATTGGACATTAAAAAAAAAATGCCCTGAAGCCCAAGGAACAATATAATTCAACTGAACAGAAAAACAAGTCAGGAAAAGATATTTACCAACCAGTGCCCATGCAAAGGTACAATTTTTTCAAAACTTGATTCTTTTTCAATGCTAAACTTCTTTCTCCCAGTTTGAGGGGAAATGAATTCATGGGTGCCATTGGACAAAAAACCTATTCCTGTAGTCTTAAACATCCATGGTCATCTTTGGATGGGTGCTCAATGGAGACAAGACATATAAGAGCATGAATCTGCTGAAGTGTTCCTGATGAGAAAAGTGATTGGAATATATAATCTTTGCACCACTATAATCACTATGTTCATCACTGCATTTCAGTTAATCTGATTTTGGAAAATACCATATATAAGCAATTACTCCACAGTACAGACAGCTCTCAGTAAACTCTTTTATCAGCTGAGGAAACTGCTGCCTTTTCTCTATATCTCAACAGACTAACACCTAGCTCAGAGTTTTTCCTTTGAAAACTAGCTGAATCAAATCCATTGACAGAGTGTCAGTAACACTGGCAGTGAAAAACTGCTGTCCCTCTGTAGCTAAAGAAAATGCAAATCCAGAGGAATTACTTGCAATCTGTTATTAGTAAAAGCAAATTGTAGCCACCACTAAGATTGACAAATATGAAGAGCATACTGTACTTATACAGCTCACACATTTGAAAACCTACCTCCTGTACCTGTTTTGTCCACTGGAACATCTGTCGAATTCAGAAGTTCCTTCCTAAAAGATTTAAGATACATGCTTTAACAGTAACAGACACTTTGAGAAACCAGCCTCCAGTTACAGCCTCAGGTTACTACTGAAGGATCAGAAAGAAACCAACCACATAACCACCCCCCCAGGGGACATAATGATTTCCAACATTAAATTCCAATTAACACCAAAGTATCATAAAAGCTAATTGGAACACTACTGATAAAACATTTTTCATGTCTGATACCCATATCCACCTGAGCTATAACATTTCAAGGTAACAGGTTCCATTAAACTGAACTCTAAGATATGTTTCATCAGAAACAAAGATCCAAACCAAAAATTTAACCTCTGAAAAGTAAAATTTCAAAGCAGACAAGAAATTAAACAAGAAATTAAAGATTCTGATGTTTCTCACAGAGCCAAACTGGTTTTTGAGCTGCTGTGGTTACCACATATTACAAAACCGATAAACAGCAGAAATTAATTTCTGCTAACAACTAAGACAAATTTGACAAGAGCAGGTGCCAGCATTGCATAAATACTAAAATCTATGCATAGTTTCTGATTTTAAGTCAGACAAAAGTTAAATCTACACTTCTTCCTCTTTCCTAGTTATCTGCAAGCGTCAGGATGACAACACTAAACCCCAAGAAAACATGAGCCAATACTCACTGAAGCTTCCTTTAAGCTTCAAGCAGTCTCTAGGTACACCTTAGGTCTCCTTCATGTACACTACCTGATCTACCCCCAGGCACACACAAGACACACATCCAATTAAACCACAGCAACCAGTAGTTGTATCTTGGCCTCAAGCCTGCTCTGGGAGATCCTCTACACAGATATAGCCATAGACACTTTGATACAGCGTTCCAGTATGGAAAAGAAAAAAAAAAGCATAAGCTGAAATTTAGGCCAGGATCCTCAGATAGCATCAAGTATGCCAAAGTCAGTGGCTTTCAACAGGTACTGCAGTTGAAGAGATTTGAACACTACAAAGAGATCTGCAATATTGAAGAGATCTGTCCAGAGATCTGTCCACACCACTGTGGTCTTCTGCTGGATTTATCAGAGGGAATATCAACTAAAAATTCCTCCTTAGTATTGCAAAAGCATATGTCAGTAGGAACCAGTTTGGAAGTTCTTGAAGATAAAATGAAGCAGAGAGGAGCCAGCAGAAAACGAGTAATGTATAGACAAAAATGCAAAGTTCCTTACCTTTTAATCACAAAATGAATCTTCTCCTTTGCTAGAAGTATCCTCTCCAGCCGGGGAATGCCGTACGTGGATGGACGCCTGAAGGGGACACCTTCTGGCAGCCCTTTTACATGTAAGTCTTCCGCACTTGACTGGAAGAGTGAGTATGGGATAGACACTCGACCTTTTGCTTTTATAGCTTCAGCTTTGAGGAAAAAGAAGAATAGAAACATTAGACTGGCTTGTGGCTCTAATCAAATTACCTGTTTGATGTCACTTGGATAAATATTATAATTAGCACACAGGCAATCACCCCTCAGCACATTTAAATATGCAAGCATTCATTTTTGTTTTGCAAAATCACTTTGATTTACAGTAAACAAGGTGCAGCACTGCATATGCAGATCCTCTCTTTTCCTTTTACTCTGTAAATGTTTAATAATAGTTATTTTGTTACAACTGCACCTGTTAGAGTGAAGAGTCACACTTTTTTTGTTTTGTTTAATAGTGCATTTTGAAAGATAAAGTTACCTAGACTTAATTATAAACCAAGCATGCTTCGGTTCACTAGCTCTTACTATTATTATTTATTACTCCTGTTGACTTACAAAAGTCTTTAAAGCCTTGGAGGAGGGGCACATATCCCTTCTTTTTCAGTGAATTCCTAAAGTTGTGGTGTATTTTACAAATCTAAGGACGCTCTAATAAAATAAAACAATACAATTCTAACAGTGTTGAAAAAAGTATGGCCCTACTAATGAGATCTTTGAAGCAAATGAAAAGCAAATAACTGACTCAGCCACAGATGGAAAATAACCTCAGTGTATTTAAGTTATGAGGACCATAATCATATCAATACACTGATCAGGCTGGCACACACTGGAGAATGACACGAGGCTTTGCAAATATGAAGAGGGCTGATTTCTTTATACTCCCAAGGGTACGTTAATTTTGTAAGCCATGCAACAAATAGTTTGGTATATTCTGTTGTTTTGCTATGGAAATTAGATGTAACAAATTATTTAAGAAGAGAAAAACCAAGCTAAGGCCAAATTAGAGTACAGTGATGTTGTGGCAGCATTACTGAAAGCAAAACGACTCAGGGCACTTTTTCAAGCAACTTAATGTCACATCCAAGTGGCTTGTGGTTCAGACATAGTCTATGCAAAATGTTCTCATTAAGTCACAAATTCTTAAATACAATAAACCAACTTGAGTTTTAAAACTACGTGGGCAACACATGCTTTTAACTACTTGAAACCAGAACATTTCTTGGGATGTTTATCACAAAATAGAGAAACTTTGAAAACAAGTATGTTTCTTAGTACATATCTTAGTCTTCTATTAGTCTTGTACATATGTCATCTTAGTCTTGTATGTATCTTAGTCTTTCTATTCTGATTGGAACCGAATATCAAAATTTTAGAAAACTGCAAGAACGGTGTTTCAATTAGACTTGATTTCAACTGGCAAATATAAGGTGGCCAAAACTGGAGACAGAGAATAGAATCACAGAGATGGACACGAACCTGAGGATGACTCCTAGCAAACAGACTAATGAAACCCTACTCAAACCCATGCCAAAGGTGCTTCAGAACAATCAAAAAAGCTGTTGTGTATCACCCCAGTCCTTCATTAATGTAGATTTTTATTGCAGTCATATACCTCTTTCAAGAAATTTAAAAAAAAATTATTCTCAGCCCTGGGGGCTGTTGTGGCATGTGGTGAAAAGTCCAACAAATCCAGCAGACAAGCCTCAGGGTAACAGATAAACATCACTAAAATCCAGATCACTACTAAGTATCAAATAAGAAAAGCTTCACAGGAACAGAAATCCTCTCTGTTCAAATAAATAACTAATAACAGGTTAGTTTTTACAAGTTAGAACCTGTATTTCTCTTAAATCAGCAAATTTTTTAGCCAAGACACTTCATAGAGCCTAAGAACACCAGCAGCATCACATTCTGCAGTGAGGTTTCTTAGATTTGGAATCTTACACGGTTTTGCATAGAAATTCTACTGAATACAGCCTTCATTTTTATAAATTAGTCTGTATATGTAAGTCACTAACAAGTAAACCCATTTAGTTTTCATCTAGACACAAAACTATACTTTCAGACACATCAGTTGTAATGGATTACAACGACTGACATTGCTAAAACACTTTGGAGCTACAAAAGCCAACAAATTTGAAGAGCATTCTGGGAATTCTGGACATTCATAACTCATTTCAGTAAATGGGAGATTGCATGCCCATACAGACAGAAAGACCTAGAGTCTGATAAGGAATTGGTTTGTGAATCAAAGCAATGTTGTCATCCACAGGGACAAAGGGGTAATTTAATACCATATGCCCTGCTATGGAAAGTCAGGAATAGCTCAGTATTCCACAGACTACACAGGCAATTTTTAGGCTGGCTATGTGCAAACACCAAAATCAAAATAAAGCAATTCACTAAGAGTGATGTTCCTTTTTAGAGCAATTAAAATACGGTGAAGGAGACCCTGAACTGTTTTAACTTGGTGTGAGTTGCTTTCAGTGGGCTGTTTAAATGTCAGATGATAGTCACACTTGAAACATGTAATAACTCCAAATCACAAGGTCCATTCTGAAAGCACTTCCACCTTTTGTGGTAGATGAGCACCACCATTTATTTTGAAATCTTTGCTGATGCTGTTTTAGTCTGTGATACTGGGACACAAAATATATCTAGATGTAGCATCTGGAAACAAATTCCAAGGTCTAACACATCTGATGCTTTTTCTTTCCAAGAGTCATTAACATATAATTTTGGCTTCACTGCAAATCAATCATAATCAAATGGGAACAATCAATGAGTGGCAACCTCTCCCTAGAGCCATTCTAACAAGATTCTGTCATGTAAGAACTCAGTGTAATTACAGAAAAAAGGACAGCTCCTCAAATGTGGGTGCCTAAACATGAGCATGCTGGAGTTCCAGGAAACAACAAAACTAGTATCAAGTTTTGCACTTTGGTGCCAAATGGAGACACTCCATTTTGAAACTGGTAATAAAAAAAAAGGCTACTTTCCCCAGTTTTACATCTTCCAACAGTATTTAACCCTTTGTTGCTGTCAGTTCAGGTGTACTCCTGAGCCAACAAGATGCAAGCCAAAGGGCTGTCACAGCAACAGTGAGCTAGAGGCAATGGTTTGGAATGGTGTGTAACACATACCGTATTTTTTTTCAAATAGCTCTTCAACTTGCTTTCTCAAGTCTGTAATTCGTGCATTCCATTTCTCTGCAAAGAGAAGGACATGTCAGACTACAAACAAAACTGAGGATCTCTTGTAAAATCTGTGTTTCCACTGACATATGCAGTGTGCTTTTACTGCTCACCTGCACACAGGTGACTGCAGAGTACAGTAGAGGCTATACTTTAAAATACATGGATATGTTCAGGAAAAAAAAAAGTAGATAATAAGTTTTTTAAGATTACCTCCCAAACTTGTATATTAAATCAAGTTAAAAAAACCACAACACAAACCAGGCTAAAGTAACTTCCAAAAGTGGTTTCTCCTTGACGGATCAAGTCAGCAGCTCTCACAGCCATCAGAGGTAAAAGCAGTTTGTAGCCACTGCTGATAGTTACCTCAATCTATGTGCTGAAAAGCTTAATTATTGAAGCTTGACAAAGCACAGTGAGTATATGGAGTTGTTTTGGTTCAAATCTGTGTAACTATCTGGGTCAGGAGGCATTGTGCCATCCTCTACCCTAACCCAGCATTTCTCCAAGTCCTGGTGTTTCAAAACATCACCATAAATCCTACTTTTGAAAGAAGATAACTTCTGCAAGACACAATAGTATATTAGTTGAGAGAAGGTTTATGCAGACAAAAGAGACTGGATTTGGGGAAAACAGTATGAACATTTATTACTAGCAAAATAAAAACTACTAAAGAACTACATCTATAACAATTCTACTTAAGTAAAAGTGCTATGTATTTACAGAAATACTTCTCCCCCCTTTATATCAGTCCAAGGAGGAAAAGCAGTTTCTTTCTCCATTCTCAGAGCTTCAGGTCTCTTCAAACTCTGCAGCACTGTCGTCATAGCTGGAACTCTTTTTTTTTCTCTCTTGCTCTGTGTTGGCCTTCAGGGCTGGGCCTACCCCCCTCCTGGGCTAAGACCGAGGCTGGGGGGTTACCCAGGTCCTGAAGGTTTTCTCTTTCATGGGCTTGCAAGGGGACACTTGCCTACCATGGATCTTCACCACAGGGTTACAAGGGATAATGGCTTATGAGTCCATCCCTGTTTTCCTGTGGAGGCCCCTTCCCACGGGAGAACAGTCCTTGATAGACCTCTCCGACATGGGTCTAGCATGGATCCCTCACTTGGATCCCAACATCCTACCCAGGCCATCTCGCTCCAGCGTAGGTTTTCTTCAGGGTCACAAATCTTCAACAGGACTCTGCTTCACCTCAGGTCTCTCATAAAGTCTCGGTTTCTTCATGCATCAACTTACTCCAGTGTAGGCTCTTCCACGAGCAGCATGGGGGTCTCCTCACACCAACAAACTTCCATAGGTGGCAAGGATTTATTTTTCAGTCTCTTCCCTGCTGAAGAGAGAGAGCGAAAGGGGGGAGAAACAGCCCCCCCCCCCCCCACGCTTTTCTTCTCTCTCCTCCGGCTGCCAGCTTCGACCTTGGACACTTTGTTATCTCTTTGCTGGAATTTCTTCTGCAGCATTTCTTGTCCAAGCAGTCAGTCCTTCTCTAAAGTTTTTTTTTTTCTTCACTCTCTTACAAGAGAAAAGGGGGGCTTCAGTGCCACACCTGCCCCTGGCCCAAGCCGGGGAAGAAGACGGTCTGGCCCCCACCTGGGGCTTGCTGCCTCTCCTACATGGCTGCCGCTTCTAATTTCAACTGTGCAAAAAACCTTCTCTTCCGTTTTCTTAAATATGTAATTAACAAAGGCATCACTGAGAGTTTTAACTGGTTTCTTGTCTGGAAATCCACCTGGACAAAACCATCCTCAGCCCCAGGGGCTGGTTGGCTGGGCAAAACCATGACAGAACCCCAAAGTGAACATGAGGGGCAATATCACCAATGCAATTTAGGAAATCCAGGAGTAAAGATGGCTGAATGACCTGGGACCTGCAAATCCCTGTAATCTAAGTGCACAGTGCATGGTTTAGAACAAAATTTTCTTGAGAACAGCCCAGAGCAATAATCTACTAAGTCAACTCAAAACAACAGTGAGCAGGAAAGCTCTGAGATGCTCTTAAACTGGTGTTTCAACTAAAATTTTTATAAACCTAATAGTTAATTACCTTTGCACTACATCCCCAATCAACATCATTCTTTACTCCTTTTCAAAAATTGTTGGAATACCAAGCTTAAAAGCTGTTTTCTGCTGGGAGAATATATATATAGGGAAAGCTTGTGCATCAGTAAGTGCACTCACCAGTGCTGACATTATGTTCTTAAGACCCACCTAAGAAAAATGTTAATATGGAAGTGGCTATTAACATTAATGACGTTAAAAGATGACAGCTCACAATGCTATGGTAGTTTTGCTGAAATTAGCATTAAATACACGTTTCATGCAACACAGATGGCAGAAGGGGTTCCAAGGGAACTTTTCAATTCTACTCAAATTCCCGAATTCCTAAGAAACATCTCAAACATTTGCCAAAGGACATATTCCAGACAGCATACAACCTTATAAAAGTAGACAGATGAATGGGCTATGTGTCCAGAAACCAAAACAAACCCAGGAATAAAGGAGACGTAAAGGACTTCCAAAAAATCCCAGGGGAAGCATCTTTGACCACAGTAACCACAGAGTGTGGATTCATTTCTATAGAGAACTCTACAGAAGAGATCATGAAAGAACACCACCAAAAAGATCTCAACTTCCTGTGTGTCCAATTAGCTGCTCACTTTGAATAACAAAAAACAACAGAGGTAGCCTATGATGATGATTATACTCCTGCAATACATCTACAAAGAGCCCTGGGCTCTTCAATGAATGCTTGCACTGGTGTGTCTCGCTCCTGCAGCATAACACCTTTTCATAAAATCAAGCAGAGAGAGAAAATAGGCTTTAATTTTATCTTACCAAAATTGAATTTTCCCACTTTTCTTCTCCCAGTACTGCCAGCTTCATTAGTTGACTTGGTCCTTTTTCGTCTCTTATTAGAGGGTTGGAAGTCGTCATCATCTTAAAGAAACATAAAAATACCACTGGTTCAATGTCCAGAGAACTCATGTGCAATGTTGGAACTGCTCTGAATTTCCAAGCTCTAATGCAAGCATTGGACGGGGCTCATCAGGGCACCAGACTGTCCAACCAATTACTTATCTGAGTAACTTTACAAACCTCCTGTTCCTACCTGTGTAGCAACAACCTCTGCAAGAGAGCCTGTGTAAGGCACAAGATAGCAAAAAGCAGAGCTGCTTCTGTACTTCCAAAGGAAAACAACATTGTGTTTTGAAACACGACCACACACCTCACAGTCATAAAAAGGCCATGCAACAGCAAAAGGAACCAGGGAATACACTGTACAGATATAGACTACTTATTTTATCTAACTGGAAGTAGTACCCTTCCACCAGTAAGGCTCACAACAACAGCACTTAAGTTTTGTCTTGAAGAGCTCAAAGGTGCTAAAACCAGTTTCAAAACACTCAAACTAATGGACGCCAAGGAAAATTCATGAACCAGGTCAACTCCGCCGTAAACTCACACAGATGGACAGACAGGAAAACTGCAAATGCAGGAATTTTTCAGTGAGCTGCCTCTCAGCCAGTCACTTCTCAATCCAACCCTATCCTCCTTATGTTCATGAGCTATTAAGACTGTCCAATTCCCAACACCTGCAACCTTAAGAGAAAACAAACGCTTTAAACAGACAAAGACAAGCAATTTCACATAAAGAATAGCAGGTACCCACGTCACTAAAGGTATAGTTTGCTTTGGAAGAGTAACGTGGCATATTGACACACACTGGACCTATGCAGTTGTATTATACTCCGTCAGGCAAAACTCCTTCACAGCACTTTTACTGTTGTGTGAAGGCCTTTACACATACACCGAACTTAATGACTCTTCTCTTATTACCTCTTCTGTTGAGGTAATGTAAGAGTTATTTCATGACAAACAGGTAATAGTAATGCCAGAAGTGTCAACTTTGTCCTAAATGCCTTGCCCATTTCCTAAATTGCTAATTGGGTGGTCTCAATCCTCATCCAATTCCAGAAGCAAGCCTTGCAAAAGCCACTCTCAGAAGTGTTTTAAAGCAGTCACAGGACATGTAACCCACAAATACAAGAAATACAGCTGACTCCCATCCTAGACCCTCGACTGAAAACAACAGGAACATCGGGGAGTGGCTTTAGTGCCATTCAGAAGAGAAAGGAAGGTGGTAAGTACAAAGGTTTTTATCTCGTATTTATCGCTGTGAGGAAAATACATTGAGGCTTCACTTATGCCACCTGTAACACAGCCCTTCTCTTTTGCTACAGTTCTTCCCAGAAGCTGGTGTTAACAAGAAATTTATAGGACTACAGTGTGCTTACAAAACAATGTGTTCTTCAGAATGAATGAAAGTTATAACATCTTGTCTGTCCAATGAGTATTTGTCACTACCAATGCTTGAAACGTACGTGAAAGATGCAAATTGCTGCCAGGCATCATTTCCAAACCAGCCCAGGAAGTCCAGTGTGCTTCAGCATACTGTGGCTTTATAAAACTTCTGGACTACATATGCTTACCAAGCAGTGCACAATCCAAGCTGCAGTCAACACTGGCACAACTGAGTTACTGTTTATTCAGAGTCAAGTAACCCAGGCACTGGAAAGCATTTTTCAGATACAAAAATGCCCAACGGACTGAAATCAATGAACCAGTGAACAGACCTTCTTCACTGGAGAACTCGACCTCAGAATCCTCACTTGTTTCTGACGAGTCAGGCTGGGAGGGATCTGAAAGGGAAAAACAGGGCTGCTGAATGATGGACACAGACAAGAGTTTTCTAACCAAACACTCCACGATTCTGCTTGTAATCTAACATTTGTCAGAGAAGCCCCTTGCACTCCCTGCAGCAACAAAAGCAGAAGCAAAGATATATTACTGAAAGCCTTGAAGCAGTTCCAGACAAGGGTAAGGAGGTGAGGATTACACTTGCTAAACCGTGTGTGCAGCAGTGCAGAGCTGGTGGCAATGACAAGAGGAAATTCCTTGTTCTTGGCTTAGAAGGATTAATACAATCATAAATATTTTTCCCTTTGTTATCAAGGATTACTGAAAATATAAACAAAGGCTTTGTGCCACCACAGATTATGGGTTTCTTTACCATTCACACAGCCCCTGGTTGTTGCACTATAGTGACTGCCATAACAGGCTGCAAGGCCAACAATGAAACACGGGAGGGAAATTCATGATCACAAATGCTTTTGCTGGGGCCATGTGCACCAACAAAACAAACAGGATTAGGCCTATCAACACTCGGTGTGAGAAAGAGCAATTTATATTCAGCTGCAGTAAACTTTAAAAAAGTGAAGGCAGTTATATCAGAAACTACACCAAAATTAAGTAGCAGCGTATGGAGGAACGTGTTTACTTATTCTGGTACAATAACGCTGCACTTGTGCATTTTCCACAGCATCTTCCTTCAGCTCTCTGTAAGCTGGAGTATGATATCACTTTGGGAGCAAGACTGAAGGAATCTCTGTTTCAAAGGCTCTTCACATGATGTCGTGTATAGCAGACGTTCAGCAGTATCTACTGAGACACCTTAACTGGACTGTATTTGAACTGTGTCAAATAGATCATCCCGTTCACGGAAAACAGAGTCGGATGCGTTGGTCTAATTCCGAGTGGGTGCTGGGTGGATAACTCCCAAATGCAAAGCACAACAAAAGGAAAGAATTAGGCAGTCTTCCTTTTAGTAGACATGAACATGAAGTATGATCATAAAAATAACTGTCACATCAACTTATCCTGTAGAAGCGTTTTGAGAGCATCAGAAAAGTTTGAAAAAAATCATAATAGATACTCAATTTTTGCAAATTTAAGAACAGCCACAAGACTGGCAAATGGTCCATCATGTCCAGTACCAAATCCCTGAGGAATAGTCATAATTAAGAGACCCATGCAAAAAAGTCAAAGCGGATGGTAACAAAGTTCTGGACGAAAACTCCCAGATGGGACATTTCTTCTTAAGTCACTATAGTGGGTTGACCCTGGCCGGATGCCCAGTACCCACTAAAGCCACTCTCTCACTCCCCCTCTGCAACTGGACAGAGGACAGAGTAAAAAAAACAGCTAAGGATTCATGAGTTAACAGCTGGAGGAGGTCACTTACTGATTACCTTCACAGGCAAAACAGTCTCAAAGTGGGGATAGTACTCAAATTTATTACTAACAGGATAAGAGCCAAAGAGTGAGCAACAAAACAGTCTTAAAAATATCTTCCCCCCACCCCTCCTTCCTTCCACGTTCTCCCTCCTCCCTCCAGCGGTGCAGGGGGACAGGAATGGGGGTTACAGTCAGTTGTTGTTTCTGTCACTGCTCAGGGAGAGGAGTTGGATCCTTCCCTGCTCCCATGGGGTCCCTCCCACGGGAGACAGTTCTTGATGGACCTCTCCAGTGAGTTCATCCCTCAGGCAGCAACTCTTCCCACCCTGTTGTCCCGTGGGTCCCTCCTCCATGGGGTCCCTTCAGGGATGAGCTGACCCGGCGTGGGTCCCCCACAGGGGCCACGAGTCCTGCCTGGGAAAAACCTGCTCCAGCCTGGGCTTCTGTCTGCACGGGCTGCAGGTTCCTGCCAGGACCTGCTCCATCCTGGGCCTGCCCCGGGGTCACAGTCTCCTTCCTGCATCCCCCTGCTCCAGCGTGGGAGCCTCCAGGGGCTGCAGGGGGGTCTCTGCACCCCGATGCTCCCCCAGGGGATGCAGGGGGGTCTCTGTACCCCAATGCTCCCCCAGGGGATGCAGGGCCTCAGCTCCATCGCCTGGAGCACCTCCTGCCCCTCCTTCTGCACCGCTCTCGGGGTCTGCATTGCTGTTCCCATGTTCTCACTCTGCTCTTCCCTGACGGGAATTCTCTCTGCACCACAACCTTCTGTCCCTAACTGTGTTATCCCAGAGCTGTTCCTGTTGCTCCTGATGGGCTTGGCCTTGGCCAGTGGCAGGAAGTCCATCCTGGAGCAGCTGGCATTGGCTCCATGGGGAAGCTTCTGGCAAATTCTAACAGAAGCCACTCCTGTAGCCCCTCCAATACCAAAATCCAGCTGCAGTAACCCACTACAGTCACATTAAACCAACTGTTTCAAACATTAAAGTAAGGGTGTTTTTAACAACGTATTATCATCCCTAGGTATCCCTCGATCTTGGGTAAACACACACAGCTCCTCAGCAGCAACCTACTTCACAGTCCTAGATGTTGTCATTCCCCAGCACTGGCTCCAATTTCTCAAACATGATTTCATTCAGTTTAAAACAATTTCTTCTGATACACATAACCTTAACTTTCTGATTGCTGAATTTAAATCACACCATGGTGCTCGCTCATCCAATCTCACTAAGACCTCAGACACCTTCATCAGCTACAGCTAGCCTCGGGGATCCCAGGTACACCATAATTCTGCCACTTCCTTTGTCACCATCTTGTCATGGTTACTGGAGGGGAAAAAGAGTGAAACCCCCCAGTCATATCTACCAAAATATACATTCATACGTGCCTCTGACATTTTTCTTTGTAGAAAACAGTAATTTCTGTAACTCTGCATCACTGGTTGTAGCTTTCAGACAAACTTCTGGAAGAACTGTAAATGCCTATTCTATGTCTTTCTTTAATAACAGACAGATTACACCACAGACTTTATAAAATCCAAATATTGTCACCGATTTTTCTTTCTTACTTGTTTTTGTAAGGATCAGCAATAAATAATTTCATTTTCTAGAATCCAGACAAGACTTCCTGCTCTGTATGCCTATCTAAACCACAAATGAAATTTAAGTTAGGCTGTTACCCACAATTTTTAGTCACTGTCTCTAGACATTTTTGTAAATACTAACCTTCATGAACAACAGATTTATTCTGTTCAGCAAAACTGTGTGCAACTTTCAGCACTGCTCTTACAGAAACTTGTAAAGAAGAACAGATTTGAGAAAAGGCTGTGTAACAAAACGTCATTCTAACTCAAAGGGCCACACTAAGCTATAAAATCCTAGTCAAAACCAAGGCAAAGCCAGTGTCTCAGTCATTTCCTATTACACTTCCCTTTCCTCACACTCTCTCTTCACTGTCAGGCATTAAGCTCACTATGCTTAGGAAAACAAAGTACCTAGATATTTTCTTCTCAAATACCTAGATATTTTCTTCTCAAAACAGTGCAGACAGCATGAGCAAAGAACTTTATTCTCCTTTATCAAGAGACATGCCTTCTAATGTCATGTAATGGTACCCTTAACTATGATGATAACTATCTTCAAAGCAAAATTAACGGGATCTGCAAGAAGGAGCACTGCTGCTAGAATAACCTGGCTTTTAAAAGCACACAATGGGGGTTTGAGAGCCTTACTGCTTAGAATGAAGGTAGCGGGAGGATGATGTACTTTCCACATCATGTCAAAGCATGCAGTGTTGGGTGAGGAGTATGTTACAAATACCATTCATGATTTTAAATAACGACTCCCATCCCAATTTGTTTATAGCATGCCCCAGAGAGGTGTGATTTGAGAGAATAAAACAAAACCAAAATCATAAAAGGTAACCTTGTGGAAATATGAAAAGAGAAATGTGGTTGGAGAAGAAGTACAGCTCCAGCTAAGATGACATCTTTACAAATATTTCAGTAAAAAACCCCCAACCAATTATGTTAATTTATTCTCACAAAAAACAGTTCATATCTCTAATCTTCTAACGGGATTTCCACATCTGTTCCTTCACTGCAATCGGAACACTGGTGGCTTCCTTAACACGTATAAAGTAAAAAAACCCCCATACTCGTGACTATACTGTGTACTATAAAAGCAGACAGATGAATGGGCTATGTGTCCAGAAACCAAAACAAACCCAGGAATAAAGGAGACGTAAAGGACTTCCAAAAAATCCCAGGGGAAGCATCTTTGACCACAGTAACCAAGGCGTTGGATGCATTTCTGTGGAGAACTCTACAGAAGGGATCATGAAAGAACACCACCAAAAAGATCTCAACTTCACGTGTACCCATTTAGCTGCTCACTTTGAATAACAAAAAACAACAGAGGTAGCCTATGATGATGATTATACTCCTGCAATACATCTACAAAGAGCCCTGGGCTCTTCAATGAATGCTTACACTGGTGTGTCTCGCTCCTCCTGTAGCATAATACCTTTTCATAAAATCAAGTAGAGAGAGAAAATAAGCTTTAATTTTATCTTACCAACATTGCACTCTCCCACTTTTCTTCTCCCAGTGTTGCCAGCTTCATTATTTGATTGGGTGCTTTTTGGTCTCTTGTTAGGGGGCAGGTAGTCATCATCACCTTAAAGAAACATAAAAATACCACTGGTTCAATGTCCAGAGAACTCATCTGCAATGCTGGAACTGTTCTGAATTTCCAAGCTCTAATGCAAGCATTGGACGGGGCTCATCAGGGTACCAAACTGTCCAACCAATTACTTAAAAGTTACTTATCTGAGTAACTTCAGAAAGCTCCTTTCTACCTGTGTAGCAACAACCTCTGCAAGAGAGCCTGTGTAAGGCACAAGATAGCAAAAAGCAAGCTGTGATATTCTCATGGAAATAAGGCAAAAAAGGAAGGTGCCTGCCCAGTGGAAGCACGGTCAAGTGACATGGGAAGAATTCAGAGATGCTGCTTGCTGCTGCAGGAGAAAATTCATGTGGTCAAAGCTCAGCTGGAGTTAAGCTGCCAGAATTGTGGGGGACAATATAAAGGGTTTTTCCAAATATATTAATGGTAATTTGTATTACTGAAGTATCGTCGGCCTGGTGCAGGATGAGGATGGTCACCTCACAAACAGGGACAGAGACAAGGGAATGGTGTTTAACACTTCCTTTGCCTCTCTCTTCAATATGAATGATAAACCAAGAGGGTCTCAATGCCCTTAGCATGAGAACCATGACTGTCAGAATGATCAACTCACAGTCAACCCTGTAATTGTGAGGGATCTTCTGCTCCAGCTTGATCCTTACAAATCTATAGGGTCTGACTGGATTCATCCCCAAATCCTCATAGAGCTGCTGATGTCATCACAAAACCTCTCCTGGTGAGTTTTGAGTGGTCTTGGCAATCTGGAGAGGTCCTGGCTGACTGGGAGCTGGTGAACATTGTCCCAATTTTCAAGAATGCAAGGAGGACCCTGGAAACAACAGCCCTGTCACCCTCACTTCAGTGCCTGGTAAAGTTACAGAGAAGATTTTTTTTGGAAAAATTGAAAACCACCTTAAAGACGATGCTTTCACTGGTCGCAGCCAGCACAGCTTCAGGAGAGGAAAGTCCTGCTTATGAAACCTGATTTCCTTCTATGACAACATAATCCACCTGGTTGATCAAGGGAAGCCAGTTGATGTAATCCTTTTGGATTTCAGTAAAGCCTTTGATACTGTCTTTCTCAGGATCCTTCTGGACAAAACGTTGAGCCCACAACTGGATAAACACATCATGTGGTGGGTGAGCAATTGGCTTATGGGCTGAGCATAGAGGGTGACAGTGACTGGGGTGACATCAGACTGGAGACCTGTTACTAGTGGGGTTCCACAGGGCTCCATCTTAGGCCCTGTGTCCTTGAATATCTTCATAAATGACTTGGATATGGAACCAGAAGAGACACGGAGCAAGTCTGCAGGTGACCCAAAACTGGGAGGATCTGTTGTTTCTCTTAAAGGCAGGGAGGCCCTGCAGAGAAACCTCAACAGATCAGAGGGCTGGGCAATCAACTATCATGTGAAGTTAAAAAAAGAAAAGTGATGGATTCTGCACCTGGGATTGGAAACCCCAGATGTGTTGACAGACTAGAGAAGTGTTGCGTGATGACCTGGTCCAGGAAGGGCACGGTGACTACCCCTTAGTCACTCGGGTCATTAACTCACAGACACCAATGTGGTGGACAGTAAAATGGCGTTTATTAGTTCCTAACACGGCCTTTTATAGTGCTTAATTGTGCCGTCATTTCCGTCTGCTTATGGTATCACCTAAACTACTGTTGGCTGTCAGGCATTGGAGGGGGGGGGTGTCCCTGCCTTTCTGTACATCCTGAAGTCTTCCGATCGCCAGACCCTATCTACTCACAGAGAAGGAAAGTAGTGAAAGGAAAGGGACCTGGGCATCCTGGTCAACATAAAGTTGAACATGAGTAAAAAGTACCCTGGCAGCCAAGAGGGCCAACTGTGTCCTGAGGGGCATCAGACATGGCACTGTCAGCTGGTTGAGGGAAATGATTGTCCTTCTCTGCTCTGCACTAGAGAAGCCTCACCTTAAATACTGTGTGCAAGGCTTTGAAGGGAAGCCGTGTGAGGAGCGGCTGAGGGCAATTGGTCTGTTCAACCTGGAGAAGAGGAGACTGAGGAAAAACCTAATTGCACTCTACCACATCATTGTGAGAGAAGGAAAAGGGGCAGGCACTGACTGATCTCTTCTCCATGGTGACCAGTAACGGAACACAAGGTAATGGTCTGAAATGGTGCTGGAGGAGGGTTTAAGTTGAAGATGAGAAAAAGGGTCTGCACACAGAAAATAATTTGGTACTGAAAAAGGTTCCCAATGGCAGTGGCTTCAGCATCAAGACTGATAAAGTTCAAGGAGTGTTTTGATAATAATCTCAGGAACATGGTGTGATCTTGGGGGTGATCCACTGGAGGGCTGAGAGCTGGACTCAATAATCCCTGTGGATCCCACCCAACTCAGCAAATTCTGGTATTTTGAAAAGTGACTACACATCTCATGATCACAGAAGGCCATGCAACACCAAAAGGAACCAGGAAATACACTGTGCAGATACAGACCACTTTTTTATCTAACTGGAAGTAGTACCCTTCCACCAGTAAGGCTCACAACGACAGCACCTAAGTTTTGTCTTGAAGAGCTCAAAGGTGCTAAAACCAGTTTCAAAACACTCAAACTAATGGACGCCAAGGAAAATTCATGAACCAGGTCAACTCCACCGTAAACTCACACAGATGGACAGACAGGAAAACTGCAAATGCAGGAATTTTTCAGTGAGTTGCCTCTCAGCCAGTCACTTCTCAATCCAACCCTATCCTCCTTATGTTCATGAGCTATTAAGACTGTCCAATTCCCAACACCTGCAACCTTAAGAGAAAACAAATGCTTTAAACAGACAAAGACAAGTAATTTCACATAAGGAATAGCAGGTACCCACGTCACTAAAGGTATAGTTTGCTTTGGAAGAGTAACGTGGCATATTGACACACACTGGACCTATGCAGTTGTATTATACTCCGTCAGGCAAAACTCCTTCACAGCACTTTTACTGTTGTGTGAAGACCTTTACACATACACTGAACTTAATAACTCTTCTCTTATTACCTCTTCTGTTGAGGTAATGTAAGAGTTATTTCATGACAAACAGGTAATAGTAATGCCAGAAGTGTCAACTTTGTCCTAAATGCCTTGCCCATTTCCTAAATTGCTAACTGGGTGCTCTCAATCCTCATCCAATTCCAGAAGCAAGCCTTGCAAAAGCCACTCTCAGAAGTGTTTTAAAGCAGTCACAGGACATGTAACCCACAAATACAAGAAATACAACTGACTCCCATCCTAGACCCTCGACTGAAAACAACAGGAACATCAGGGAGTGGCTTTAGTGCCATTCAGAAGAGAAAGGAAGGTGGTAAGTACAAAGGTTTTTATCTCGTATTTATCGCTGTGAGGAAAATAAATTGAGGCTTCACTTATGCCACCTGTAACACAGCCCTTCTCTTTTGCTACAGTTCTTCCCAGAAGCTGGTGTTAACAAGAAATTTATAGGACTACAGTGTGCTTACAAAACAATGTGTTCTTCAGAATGAATGAAAGTTATAACATCTTGTCTGTCCAATGAGTATTTGTCACTACCAATGCTTGAAACGTACGTGAAAGATGCAAATTGCTGCCAGGCATCATTTCCAAACCAGCCCAGGAAGTCCAGTGTGCTTCAGCATACTGTGGCTTTATAAAACTTCTGGACTACATATGCTTACCAAGCAGTGCACAATCCAAGCTGCAGTCAACACTGGCACAACTGGGTTACTGTTTATTCAGTGCCAAGTAACCCAGGCACTGGAAAGCATTTTTCAGATACAAAAATGCCCAACAGACTGAAATCAATGAACCAATGAACAGACCTTCTTCACTGGAGAACTCGACCTCAGAATCCTCACTTGTTTCTGACGAGTCAGGCTGGGAGGGATCTGAAAGGGAAAAACAGGGCTGCTGAATGATGGACACAGACAAGAGTTTTCTAACCAAACACTCCACGATTCTGCTTGTAATCTAACATTTGTCAGAGAAGCCCCTTGCACTCCCTGCAGCAACAAAAGCAGAAGCAAAGATATATTACTGAAAGCCTTGAAGCAGTTCCAGACAAGGGTAAGGAGGTGAGGATTACACTTGCTAAACCGTGTGTGCAGCAGTGCAGAGCTGGTGGCAATGACAAGAGGAAATTCCTTGTTCTTGGTTTAGAAGGATTAATACAATCATAAATATTTTTCCCTTTGTTATCAAGGATTACTGAAAATATAAACAAAGGCTTTGTGCCACCACAGATTATGGGTTTCTTTACCATTCACACAGCCCCTGGTTGTTGCACTATAGTGACTGCCATAACAGGCTGCAAAGGCCAACAATGAAACATGGGAGGGAAATTCATGATCACAAATGCTTTTGCTGGGGCCATGTGCACCAACAAAACAAACAGGATTAGGCCTATCAACACTCGGTGTGAGAAAGAGCGATTTATATTCAACTGCAGTAAACTTTAAAAAAGTGAAGGCAGTTATATCAGAAACTACACCAAAATTAAGTAGCAGCGTATGGAGGAACGTGTTTACTTATTCTGGCACAGTAACGCTGCACTTGTGCATTTTCCACAGCATCTTCCTTCAGCTCTCTGTAAGCTGGAGTGTGATATCACTTTGGGAGCAAGACTGAAGGAATCTCTGTTTCAAAGGCTCTTCACATGATGTCGTGTATAGCAGACGTTCAGCAGTATCTACTGAGACACCTTAACTGGACTGTATTTGAACTGTGTCAAACAGATCATCCCATTCACGGAAAACAGAGTAGGATATGTTGGTCTAATTCCGAGTGGGTGCTGGGTGGATAACTCCCAAATGCAAAGCACAACAAAAGGAAAGAATTAGGCAGTCTTCCTTTTAGAAGACATGAACATAAGGTACAGTCATGTCCTAGTTACAGGGGTCTGGACCTGTTGATCACTCTGTGGCTATAACCAAACCTGTGTATTCTACACCCTCTATGTCATTTCTAATAGCCTGGTAATAATGGCTCCTTTGCAGCAGCTGCCCAGGGCACACCTGACGCCTCAGGCTACAAACTGGATGTTAAAGAACCCTGAGATGCAGGTGAGCGTTTTTGTCTTCACATCAATGACTCAGCTCTGATCACTCTCCTCCAGGGAGGTACTGTCTCCTTCACACCCAGACTGAGATGGTCATCTCTGCTATTGGGCCATAATGGATGGGCATAATAGGCAGCTGCAGTGACCTACACCATCAAAGATTCCAAAAATATCTCATGACTCACAGAGTTAAATCCCCCATTGCGAGAAACTCCCTGCCTGGGGGAGGTACTAGGCGTTCCCACCTGAACTAGATAATATATAATCCTCCGGTTTGGGGACTTTTCTTACTACTCCTCAGATCCAGAGGAGGACAAGAACTTCAACAGGGCTGTAACTGCCACTCTGGACAAGCCGGCAATCATTGCTTCTGCAGAACTGCCACCATCATCTGGACCAACAGGCTTCCTTTCCTTTTACTTTGCAGCCAGGGGGGCACAAGATATCAGCACAGGGGCAAACAAACACCGTCCTGTTCTAGTCACAGGGTGCTGGGTTATACAGCTCTCTTTGTGGGTTAAAACAGTTTTCTCTGTATCATTGTATTTATTGTAATCTTTTTAGTAAATTGAAACTCTGACTTGGAATCTCCCTTGAGTTGCTTCCTTTCTCCTGCCACTTTACTTTTAAACCAGCACAGGTCATAAAGATAACTGTCACATCAACTGACTGCCTAACACCTTTTTGAGAACATTGGAAAAGTTTTAAAAAAACAATAAAAGATTCTAGCATGCCCCAGAGGGCTGTGATTTGAGAGAATAAAACAAAACCAAAATCACAAAATACAACCTTGTGGAAATATGAAAAGAGAAATGTGGTTGGAAAAGAAGTACAGCTCCAGCTAAGATGACATCTTTACAAATATTTCAGTAAAAAAACCCTAACCAATTATGTTAATTTATTCTCACAAAAAACAGTTCATATCTCTAATCTTCTAATGGGATTTCCACATCTGTTCCTTCACTGCAATCGGAACACTGGTGGCTTCCTTGACACATATAAAGTATAAAAACCCCCATACTCGTGACTATACTGTGTACTATAAAAGCAGACAGATGAATGGGCTATGTGTCCAGAAACCAAAATAAACCCAGGAATAAAGGAGACGTAAAGGACTTCCAAAAAATCCCAGGGGAAGCATTTTTGACCACAGTAACCAAGGCGTGTGGATGCATTTCTGTGGAGAACTCTACAGAAGGGATCATGAAAGAACACCACCAAAAAGATCCCAACTTCCTGTGTGTCCATTTAACTGCTCACTTTGAATAACAAAAAACAACAGAGGTAGCCTATGATGATGATTATACTCCTGCAATACATCTACAAAGAGCCCTGGGCTCTTCAATGAATGTTTGCAATGGCGTGTCTCACTCCTGCAGCATCATCATGTCTGGGCTTCGTGAATGAAGATTTGAGAAGGGCTCTACCCACGCTTGCTACAAGCACGCTGATGGCTAAAAAGGCCAATGCTAGATAGACAAGTCCGGTTGCAGAAGGCACAGCAGAAAGACTCCCCAGGTGATATCGATGAGATTCGATTCTTTCTGCGTTGTCTTTTCTCCTCGAGAGTGATCCTGCGTGTGTTCTCAAAAGCAGCAGCAGCAGCATTATAGATGGTGTGTCTCCAGGCCTCCCGATTGGAGGCCAGGGTAGACCAATGGTGGTGATCAATATGGCCAAGGCTGAGGGATTGTTTCAGGCAGTCTTTGTATCTCCTCTTCGGGGCTCCTCTCTTGTGGCAGCCAGTGGCAAGTTCCCCACAGAGCACGATCTTAGGGAGGCGGCAGTCCTGCATCCTGGAGACGTGCCCTGCCCAGCACAGCTGTGTTCTCAGCAGCATGGCCTCAATGCTCGTGACTGCTGCCTGTTCAAGGACAGACGTGTTGGTCACACAATCCATCCAGTGGATGTTTAGGATTGTACGGAGGCAGCACTGATGGAAGCGTTCTAAGAGATGCAAGTGGTGGTGGTAAATGACCCATGATTCAGACCCATATAAAAGAGTAGACAGTACAATGGCTCTGTAAACACTGATCTTAGTACTTTTCTTCAGTTGTTTATTTCGCCAAACTCTTATGGAGTTTACCAAAAGCTCTGTATGCCTTAGCTAACCTGTTGTCTATTTCTGCATCAATCTTACTGTCTGAGGAGATGATGCTTCCCAGGTAATTAAACAACTGGACTGATTTGAGCTCTGTTTCACCAATGGTGATATGGGGATGATGGGAGACTTCCTGAGGTGCAGGTTGATATAAAATTCTGTTTTCTTCAAGCTGACTTCCAGCCCAAAAAGCTCAGCAGCCTCTACAAAGCAGGATGTTAAATGGTGCAGAGTTATTTCTGTGTAGGTGACGAGGGCGGCATCATCAGCGTAAAGCAGCTCACTGACAAGAAGATTTAAGGTCTTAGTGTGGGCCTTCAGTTTCCTTAGGTTGAAAAGGCTCCCATCTGTACGATATCAGATGTATATACCGTTTTCTTCATTGAGGTCTGCCGTGGCCCTTTGGAGCATCATGCTGCAGAAGACTGTGAATAAAGTTGGTACGAGAACGCAGCCTTGCTTCCCACCATTGGCTATAGGAAAGGGCTCAGAAAGTGCATCGCCATATCTGACTTGACCACGCTGGTCTAATGAAGCAAGATGATCATTTTGAGGAACCTGGGGGGACATCCTAAACGTTCCAAAATCTACCACAGACCTTTTCTGCTCACAGTATCAAAAGCCTTGGTGAGATCAACAAAGGTAACATAGAGTCCTTTGTTCTGTTCCCTACACTTCTCTTGCAGTTGTCTGAGAACAAATACCATGTCTGTGGTACCCCTATTGGCTCTGAAACCACATTGGCTCTCAGGTAGTTCTTTTGCTATAACGGGTACTAATCTGTTCAAAAGAATTCTTGCAAGGATTTTACCAGCAATGGAGAGCAGAGTAATACCTCGGCAATTTGAGCAGTCTGATTTATCTCCTTTCCTCTTGTACAAGGTGACGATGACAGCGTCACGAAGGTCTGAAGGCAGTTCACCTCGTTCCCAACAGTGCACCACAAATTCGTGAAACTTAGCATGGAGTGCTTGGCCACCGTGCTTCCAGACTTCAGGTGGGATTCCGTCAACCCCAGCTGCCTTGCCAATTTTCACCTGCTATATAGCTTTAAGAGTTTCTCCCATGGTGGGGGCAATATCCAGTTCAGTTTTCAGGATTGCTGTGAAATGAACTGCATTGCTGAGTCTTGAACTACATGGCTGGTACTGAAGAGAGTCTGAAAGTGTTGAGACCATTGATTCAAAATGGAAACTTTATCTTTGAGAAGAATCTGACCATCTGCACTGAGTAAAGGGCTTTGAATGTGGTGTGTAGGACCAGCTGTTTTCAGAGCCTCATAGAATCCCCTGTAGTCACTCGTATCTGGGCATAACTTGATTTTTTCCGCTAGATTGGTCTACCACTTGTTCTGGATGAGATGCAGTTCCTGTTGGAGCTTGCTACATGCAAGCAGAAAGGCTGCTTTTCTTGCATGACAAGATGGCTGAGCAAGGTGGGCTTCGTGAGCAGTTCTCTTCTTTCTCAACAGTTCCTGGATATCATGATTGTTTTCATCAAACCAGTCCTTGTTTTTCTTGAAGGAGAACCCTAAGGATTCTTCAGAGGAGTGCAGGATGCTATTTTTAGTAAGTTGCCAAAGTGCTTTGGGAGAGGGATCTGTGGAATGAGCTTCGAGCCTGGATTGAAGATTTGCCTGGAAACTGTCTCTCACTGTAGCTGTTTGAAGATTGTTAACCTGAAGTCTCCTTCTTGGAATGCCGCTCCTTTTAGGTTTGAGCTTAGAGTGGAGGTAAAGCTTACAGAGCACAAGGCGATGATCCGTTTGACATTCTGCACTAGGCTTCATGCGGCTGTGACGAACATCACAGATATCTCTCTGTCGGACCAAGATATAGTCAATGAGGTGCCAGTGCTTGGACCTAGGATGCATCCAGGTTGTCTTCAGACTATCTTTCTGCTGAAAGATAGTGTTGGCGATGGTGAGCTGTTGCTCTGCAAAAAACTCTAGCAGAAGGCGACCATTATTGTTGCAGTTTCCAACACCATGCTTGCCTAGTACTCCTTTCCAGGCTTCAGAGTTCTTTCCTACTCTGGCGTTGAAATCACCAAGGATAATGATCTTATCATCTGAGGAACCTTTTGGATAGGGCAGCGTAGGTTGGTGTAGAATTTATCTTTTTCGGCAGGGTCAGCTTGGAGGGCTGGGGCATATATACTAAAGAGAACAGCATGTTGCTTGTTGGGTAGTGGGAGGCGTAGGGAGATAATATAATCAGAATGACCAGTCGGCAGATTTTCAAGTTTAGAGACAATAGAGTTTTTGATCATGAAGCCAACTCCTGAAGGATGCCTTTCAGTTCTGGGTTTACCTGACCAGTAGAGTGTATAACCAGCACCATGTTCTCTAAGGCTGCCTTCCTCATGGAGATGAACTTCACTGAGAGCAGCAATGTCGATGTTGAGTCGTGACAGTTCGTGGGCAATTAGAGCGCAGCAACGCCCAGGATGTCCACTATCTGCAGTACCAGTGTTAATTTGGACACCCCTTTGAAGGCAGGTGTGTGCCTTTGACTCTTAATCTTTTTTTGACCGCAACAGAAGATGCCCGTTGGCCGCAGTTAACCAACTGGGTGAAGGGTGGAGATGAGCTTTGGTTGGGTCACCTTTTCTAGGCCCTTCTCCATGTGGAGCAAGCAGTGCTCTCCTTGAAAAAGGCTGCTTGGTCGTTCAGGATGCTGCTGAGTGAGGCTGTCATCTCCAGGGTCAGACTCAGGTGACCAATTTCCTGAACCGCTTGCATGCAGGGTTAGAACTGCAGCTTCCAGTGCACCTTGTCACCTGCTGTTTCATCCCTCGCCTGTCACTGCAGGGCTTTACAAGTGTGGGTATAGCCCTAGAGCCTGTGCAGTGGATTTTTTAGGTGAGGCTCAGTTTGCACAGAACTGGTCCCACCCTTTACTCCTGAGGTTCATCTGCCAGGGCCTGGCAAGCTTGGACGGTGACAGCAAAGTCCTCAGGACACAGGTTTAATTAGAGTATCCTTCTCTTGGATGGATTGCCTTACAGGGCTAAGTGAGCTCCATCTACCCGGGTTTGAAATTAAGAGTTGTCCTTCTCCTAGGATGACTGCCGGAAAGTTAGTGAGCCCATCTTGGCCATGGACACATTTTATCTTATCTGACCCTTCAGTTTTGACCTGTCTGGCATGGGAGACTCTACCGGAGGCATATTCCACTGCCAGCACAGCTCACAAGCTCATAACGGCATACAGGCTTCTCCCCACTGAAATAATTTGGACAAGCCCTTCTCTGCCTACTATTCCTTCACAGCTTCCTACACTCTAACCCAGGGGCATTTCCTTGCCCTAAACACCCCTCCAAAATGCTAAAATTCCAAAACAAAACAAAACAAAACAACAACCAAAAAAAACCAAACACACAAACTATTATGGGCAGAAGCCGCAGGCAAGCCAAGCCCATCACATCCCACCCTCGCTGCTACAGTGCCCGAATAGGAGCGATCCTGGCATACCCCTGGGCAGGGCGGGCACACATGGAAGGGGTCCCCACATCCTCCCAGGGCTTGGGCACCCTCCACAGCCCCTGCCCCGCCAAAACCTCCAAACCCCAGAGAGACCCACTACCCACCCCAACCTCACCGCTCCCCCCCACAGTGCAACTGCAAGCCCCCCTCGCAGTGCCCCCCGCGACCCCCAAAGGGGACGGCCCCGCCTGCCCCCTAGTCAGCCCAGAGAACCCCCAAGTATGATTAGGCCCCCCCGCCCCTGCCCAACCCGGCCACCCATCTGCAAAGCCACCGGCCATGCGCCAACCACTCCACTGCTCCAATGTCGAAAACAGAGCTCCCCACAGCATCTCCACGATGTCGACTGCACAGATGGGCATGGCAGCATCTCCCATGCATCCAGCGCGGTAACGGGTGCGGAGGCACGAGGGGGTCCCTCCACACCGACAACCAAGCTGCAGGAGCACGCCGAGTGCAAGGTCACCCTCGCGCCCGCCAACTTGGATCCCCCCCTTGCAAAATAATACCTTTTAATAAAATCAAGCAGAGAGAGAAAATAGGCTTTAATTTTATCTTACCACCATTGCACTCTCCCACTTTTCTTCTCCCAGTACTGCCAGCTTCATTAGCTGCCCTAGTGCGTTTCGGTCTCTCGTTAGAGGACAGGTAGTCGTCATCATCTTAAAGAAAAATAAAAATATCACTGGTTCAATGTCCAGAGAACTCATGTGCAATGCTGGAACTGCTCTGAATTTCCAAGCTCTAATGCAAGCATTGGACTGGGCTCATCAGGGCACAAAATTGTTCAACCAATTACTTATTTGAGTAACTTTACAAACCTCCTGTTCCTACCTGTGTAGCAACAACCTCTGCAAGAGAGCCTGTGTAAGGCACAAGATAGCAAAAAGCAGAGCTGCTTCTGTACTTCCAAAGGAAAACAACATTGTGTTTTGAAATACGACCACACACCTCACAGTCATAAAAAGGCCATGCAACAGCAAAAGGAACCAGGGAATACACTGTACAGATATAGACTACTTATTTTATCTAACTGGAAGTAGTACCCTTCCACCAGTAAGGCTCACAACAACAGCACCTAAGTTTTGTCTTGAAGAGTTCAAAGGTGCTAAAACCAGTTTCAAAACACTCAAACTAATGGACGCCAAGGAAAATTCATGAACCAGGTCAACTCCACCGTAAATTCACACAGATGGACAGACAGGAAAACTGCAAATGCAGGAATTTTTCAGTGAGCTGCCTCTCAGCCAGTCACTTCTCAATCCAACCCTATCCTCCTTATGTTCATGAGCTATTAAGACTGTCCAATTCCCAACACCTGCAACCTTAAGAGAAAACAAATGCTTTAAACAGACAAAGACAAGTAATTTCACATAAAGAATAGCAGGTACCCACATCACTAAAGGTATAGTTTGCTTCGGAAGAATAATGTGGCATATTGACACACACTGGACCTATGCTGTTGTATTATACTCCGTCAGGCAAAACTCCTTCACAGCACTTTTACTGTTGTGTGAAGGCCTTTACACATACACTGAACTTAATGACTCTTCTCTTATTACCTCTTCTGTTGAGGTAATGTAAGAGTTATTTCATTGCTGGATGACAAACAGGTAATAGTAATGCCAGAAGTGTCAACTTTGTCCTAAATGCCTTGCCCATTTCCTAAATTGCTAATTGGGTGGTCTCAATCCTCATCCAATTCCAGAAGCAAGCCCTGCAAAAGCTACTCTCAGAAGTGTTTTAAAGCAGTCACAGGACATGTAACCCACAAATACAAGAAATACAACTGACTCCCATCCTAGACCCTCGACTGAAAACAACAGGAACATCGGGAGTGGCTTTAGTGCCATTCAGAAGAGAAAGGAAGGTGGTAAGTACAAAGGTTTTTATCTCGTATTTATCGCTGTGAGGAAAATACATTGAGGCTTCACTTATGCCACCTGTAACACAGCCCTTCTCTTTTGCTACAGTTCTTCCCAGAAGCTGGTGTTAACAAGAAATTTATAGGACTACAGTGTGCTTACAAAACAATGTGTTCTTCAGAATGAATGAAAGTTATAACATCTTGTCTGTCCAATGAGTATTTGTCACTACCAATGCTTGAAACGTACGTGAAAGATGCAAATTGCTGCCAGGCATCATTTCCAAACCAGCCCAGGAAGTCCAGTGTGCTTCAGCATACTGTGGCTTTATAAAACTTCTGGACTACATATGCTTACCAAGCAGTGCACAATCCAAGCTGCAGTCAACACTGGCACAACTGGGTTACTGTTTATTCAGAGCCAAGTAACCCAGGCACTGGAAAGCATTTTTCAGATACAAAAATGCCCAACAGACTGAAATCAATGAACCAGTGAACAGACCTTCAATCGTGACCTCGACCTCAGGATCCTCACTTGTTTCTGACGAGTCAGGCTGCGAGGGATCTGAAAGGGAAAAACAGGGCTGCTGAATGATGGACACAGACAAGAGTTTTCTAACCAAACACTCCACGATTCTGCTTGTAAACTAACATTTGTCAGAGAAGCCCCTTGCACTCCCTGCAGCAACAAAAGCAGAAGCAAAGATATATTACTGAAAGCCTTGAAGCTGTTCCAGACAAGGGTAAGGAGGTGAGGATTACACTTGCTAAACCGTGTGTGCAGCAGTGCAGAGCTGGTGGCAATGACAAGAGGAAATTCCTTGTTCTTGGCTTAGAAGGATTAATACAATCATAAATATTTTTCCCTTTGTTATCAAGGATTACTGAAAATATAAACAAAGGTATTGTGCCACCACAGATTATGGGTTTCTTTACCATTCACACAGCCCCTGGTTGTTGCACTATAGTGACCGCCATAACAGGCTGCAAAGGCCAACAATGAAACACGGGAGGGAAATTCATGATCACAAATGCTTTTGCTGGGGCCATGTGCACCAACAAAACAAACAGGATTAGGCCTATCAACACTCGGTGTGAGAAAGAGCAATTTATATTCAACTGCAGTAAACTTTAAAAAAGTGAAGGCAGTTATATCAGAAACTACACCAAAATTAAGTAGCAGCGTATGGAGGAACGTGTTTACTTATTCTGGTACAATAACGCTGCACTTGTGCATTTTCCACAGCATCTTCCTTCAGCTCTCTGTAAGCTGGAGTATGATATCACTTTGGGAGCAAGACTGAAGGAATCTCTGTTTCAAAGGCTCTTCACATGATGTCGTGTATAGCAGACGTTCAGCAGTATCTACTGAGACACCTTAACTGGACTGTATTTGAACTGTGTCAAACAGATCATCCCATTCATGGAAAACAGAGTAGGATATGTTGGTCTAATTCCGAGTGGGTGCTGGGTGGATAACTCCCAAATGCAAAGCACAACAAAAGGAAAGAATTAGGCAGTCTTCCTTTTAGTAGACATGAACATAAGGTACAGTCATGTCCTAGTTACAGGGGTCTGGACCTGTTGATCACTCTGTGGCTATAACCAAACCTGTGTATTCTACACCCTCTATGTCATTTCTAATAGCCTGGTAATAATGGCTCCTTTGCAGCAGCTGCCCAGGGCACACCTGACGCCTCAGGCTACAAACTGGATGTTAAAGAACCCTGAGATGCAGGTGAGCGTTTTTTTGTCTTCACATCAATGACTCAGCTCTGATCACTCTCCTCCAGGGAGGTACTGTCTCCTTCACACCCAGACTGAGATGGTCATCTCTGCTATTGGGCCATAATGGATGGGCATAATAGGCAGCTGCAGTGACCTACACCATCAAAGATTCCAAAAATATCTCATGACTCACAGAGTTAAATCCCCCATTGCGAGAAACTCCCTGCCTGGGGGAGGTACTAGGCGTTCCCACCTGAACTAGATAATATATAATCCTCCGGTTTGGGGACTTTTCTTACTACTCCTCAGATCCAGAGGAGGACAAGAACTTCAACAGGGCTGTAACTGCCACTCTGGACAAGCCGGCAATCATTGCTTCTGCAGAACTGCCACCATCATCTGGACCAACAGGCTTCCTTTCCTTTTACTTTGCAGCCAGGGGGGCACAAGATATCAGCACAGGGGCAAACAAACACCGTCCTGTTCTAGTCACAGGGTGCTGGGTTATACAGCTCTCTTTGTGGGTTAAAACAGTTTTCTCTGTATCATTGTATTTATTGTAATCTTTTTAGTAAATTGAAACTCTGACTTGGAATCTCCCTTGAGTTGCTTCCTTTCTCCTGCCACTTTACTTTTAAACCAGCACAGGTCATAAAGATAACTGTCACATCAACTGACTGCCTAACACCTTTTTGAGAACATTGGAAAAGTTTTAAAAAAACAATAAAAGATTCTAGCATGCCCCAGAGGGCTGTGATTTGAGAGAATAAAACAAAACCAAAATCACAAAATACAACCTTGTGGAAATATGAAAAGAGAAATGTGGTTGGAGAAGAAGTACAGCTCCAGCTAAGATGACATCTTTACAAATATTTCAGTAAAAAACCCCCAACCAATTATGTTAATTTATTCTCACAAAAAACAGTTCATATCTCTAATCTTCTAATGGGATTTCCACATCTGTTCCTTCACTGCAATCGGAACACTGGTGGCTTCCTTGACACATATAAAGTAAAAAAAAACCCATACTCGTGACTATACTGTGTACTATAAAAGCAGACAGATGAATGGGCTATGTGTCCAGAAACCAAAACAAACCCAGGAATAAAGGAGAGGTAAAGGACAACCAAAAAGTCCAAGGGAAAGCATCTTAGACCACAGTAACCCACGATGTGTGGATGCATTTCTGTGAAGAACTCTACAGAAGGGATCATGAAAGAACACCACCAAAAAGATCTCAACTTCCTGTGTGTCCATTTAGCTGCTCACTTTGAATAACAAAAAACAACAGAGGTAGCCTATGATGATGATTATACTCCTGCAATACATCTACAAAGAGCCCTGGGCTCTTCAATGAATGCTTACACTGGTGTGTCTCGCTCCTCCTGTAGCATAATACCTTTTCATAAAATCAAGCAGAGAGAGAAAATAGGCTTTAATTTTATCTTACCACCATTGCACTCTCCCACTTTTCTTCTCCCAGTATTGCCAGCTTCATTAGCTGCTCTAGTGCGTTTTGGTCTCTCGTTAGAGGACAGGTAGTCGTCATCATCTTAAAGAAACATAAAAATATCACTGGTTCAATGTCCAGAGAACTCATGTGCAATGTTGGAACTGCTCTGAATTTCCAAGCTCTAATGCAAGCATTGGACTGGGCTCATCAGGGCACCAAACTGTCCAACCAATTACTTATTTGAGTAACTTTACAAACCTCCTGTTCCTGCCTGTCTAGCAACAACCTCTGCAAGAGAGCCTGTGTAAGGCACAAGATAGCAAAAAGCAGAGCTGCTTCTGTACTTCCAAAGGAAAACAACATTGTGTTTTGAAATACGACCACACACCTCACAGTCATAAAAAGGCCATGCAACAGCAAAAGGAACCAGGGAATACACTGTACAGATATAGACTACTTATTTTATCTAACTGGAAGTAGTACCCTTCCACCAGTAAGGCTCACAACAACAGCACCTAAGTTTTGTCTTGAAGAGTTCAAAGGTGCTAAAACCAGTTTCAAAACACTCAAACTAATGGACGCCAAGGAAAATTCATGAACCAGGTCAACTCCACCGTAAATTCACACAGATGGACAGACAGGAAAACTGCAAATGCAGGAATTTTTCAGTGAGCTGCCTCTCAGCCAGTCACTTCTCAATCCAACCCTATCCTCCTTATGTTCATGAGCTATTAAGACTGTCCAATTCCCAACACCTGCAACCTTAAGAGAAAACAAATGCTTTAAACAGACAAAGACAAGTAATTTCACATAAAGAATAGCAGGTACCCACGTCACTAAAGGTACAGTTTGCTTCGGAAGAATAACGTGGCATATTGACACACACTGGACCTATGCAGTTGTATTATACTCCGTCAGGCAAAACTCCTTCACAGCACTTTTACTGTTGTGTGAAGGCCTTTACACATACACCGAACTTAATGACTCTTCTCTTATTACCTCTTCTGTTGAGGTAATGCAAGAGTTATTTCATTGCTGGATGACAAACAGGTAATAGTAATGCCAGAAGTGTCAACTTTGTCCTAAATGCCTTGCCCATTTCCTAAATTGCTAACTGGGTGGTCTCAATCCTCATCCAATTCCAGAAGCAAGCCTTGCAAAAGCCACTCTCAGAAGTGTTTTAAAGCAGTCACAGGACATGTAACCCACAAATACAAGAAATACAACTGACTCCCATCCTAGACCCTCGACTGAAAACAACAGGAACATCGGGGAGTGGCTTTAGTGCCATTCAGAAGAGAAAGGAAGGTGGTAAGTACAAAGGTTTTTATCTCGTATTTATCGCTATGAGGCAAATACATTGAGGCTTCACTTATGCCACCTGTAACACAGCCCTTCTCTTTTGCTACAGTTCTTCCCAGATGCTGGTGTTAACGAGAAATTTATAGGTGTGCTTACAAAACAATGTGTTCTTCAGAATGAATGAAAGTTATAACATCTTGTCTGTCCAATGAGTATTTGTCACTACCAATGCTTGAAACGTACGTGAAAGATGCAAATTGCTGCCAGGCATCATTTCCAAACCAGCCCAGGAAGTCCAGTGTGCTTCAGCATACTGTGGCTTTATAAAACTTCTGGACTACATATGCTTACCAAGTAGTGCACAATCCAAGCTGCAGTCAACACTGGCACAACTGGGTTACTGTTTATTCAGAGCCAAGTAACCCAGGCACTGGAAAGCATTTTTCAGATACAAAAATGCCCAACAGACTGAAATCAATGAACCAGTGAACAGACCTTCAATCGTGACCTCGACCTCAGGATCCTCACTTGTTTCTGACGAGTCAGGCTGGGAGGGATCTGAAAGGGAAAAACAGGGCTGTTGAATGATGGACACAGACAAGAGTTTTCTAACCAAACACTCCACGATTCTGCTTGTAATCTAACATTTGTCAGAGAAGCCCCTTGCACTCCCTGCAGCAACAAAAGCAGAAGCAAAGATATATTACTGAAAGCCTTGAAGCAGTTCCAGACAAGGGTAAGGAGGTGAGGATTACACTTGCTAAACCGTGTGTGCAGCAGTGCAGAGCTGGTGGCAATGACAAGAGGAAATTCCTTGTTCTTGGCTTAGAAGGATTAATACAATCATAAATATTTTTCCCTTTGTTATCAAGGATTACTGAAAATATAAACAAAGGCTTTGTGCCACCACAGATTATGGGTTTCTTTACCATTCACACAGCCCCTGGTTGTTGCACTATAGTGACTGCCATAACAGGCTGCAAGGCCAACAATGAAACACGGGAGGGAAATTCATGATCACAAATGCTTTTGCTGGGGCAATGTGCACCAACAAAACAAACAGGATTAGGCCTATCAACACTCGGTGTGAGAAAGAGCAATTTATATTCAACTGCAGTAAACTTTAAAAAAGTGAAGGCAGTTATATCAGAAACTACACCAAAATTAAGTAGCAGCGTATGGAGGAACGTGTTTACTTATTCTGGCACAGTAACGCTGCACTTGTGCATTTTCCACAGCATCTTCCTTCAGCTCTCTGTAAGCTGGAGTATGATATCACTTTGGGAGCAAGACTGAAGGAATCTCTGTTTCAAAGGCTCTTCACATGATGTCGTGTATAGCAGACGTTCAGCAGTATCTACTGAGACACCTTAACTGGACTGTATTTGAACTGTGTCAAACAGATCATCCCATTCACGGAAAACAGAGTAGGATATGTTGGTCTAATTCCGAGTGGGTGCTGGGTGGATAACTCCCAAATGCAAAGCACAACAAAAGGAAAGAATTAGGCAGTCTTCCTTTTAGTAGACATGAACATAAGGTACAGTCATGTCCTAGTTACAGGGGTCTGGACCTGTTGATCACTCTGTGGCTATACCAAACCTGTGTATTCTACACCCTCTATGTCATTTCTAATAGCCTGGTAATAATGGCTCCTTTGCAGCAGCTGCCCAGGGCACACCTGACGCCTCAGGCTACAAACTGGATGTTAAAGAACCCTGAGATGCAGGTGAGAGTTTTTTTGTCTTCACATCAATGGCTCAGCTCTGATCACTCTCCTCCAGGGAGGTACTGTCTCCTTCACACCCAGACTGAGATGGTCATCTCTGCTATTGGGCCATAATGGATGGGCATAATAGGCAGCTGCAGTGACCTACACCATCAAAGATTCCAAAAATATCTCATGACTCACAGAGTTAAATCCCCCATTGCGAGAAACTCCCTGCCTGGGGGAGGTACTAGGCGTTCCCACCTGAACTAGATAATATATAATCCTCCAGTTTGGGGACTTTTCTTACTACTCCTCAGATCCAGAGGAGGACAGGAACTTCAACAGGGCTGCAACTGCCACTCTGGACAAGCCAGCAATCATTGCTTCTGCAGAACTGCCACCATCATCTGGACCAACAGGCTTCCTTTCCTTTTACTTTGTAGATGGAGGGGCAAGAGATATCAGCACAGGGGCAAACAAGCACCATTCTGTTTGTCATGGGTTTGCTCAGGGCCAATTTTCTCTCACCCTTCACACAATTGCTGTAAGTTGAGAGAAGGTTTATGTGGACAAAAGAGACTTGACTGGGGAGAATAATATTAGGATTTATTACTAGCAAGATAAAAACTAAAGAACTATATCTACAACAATTCTAATTATGTAAAAGTAATATGTTTAAAGAAAAATAAAGACTTCAGTACCACATGTGCCCCCGGCCCAGGCCTGGGGGAAGAGGAAGGCCCTAGCCCACTTAGAACCTACTGTCTCTCCTACACAACCCACTAATTTTATCTGCATAACTACCCTCTCTTCCCTTTTCTTAAAAATGTAGGGTTTGCCCAGCAGCATTCCCCTGGGGCTGAAAATGGTTTTGTCCAGGTGGATTTCCGTAGAAACAGCCAATCAAAAGTTCTAGTAATGCCTCTGCCAATTACATACTTAAGAAAACAGAAATTAGTAGCCATGTAGCAGCGGCAGGTGGCCCAGGGTGGGCCAGGGCCCCCCTCCTCCCCCGGCCCTTGGCGGAGGGTAGGTGTGGCACTGAAGCCCCCCCCTTCTCTCCTGAAACAGAGTAGAGAAAAAAGAACTTTAGAAAAAAACCTGCCTGGACAAGACATACGGCAGAAGAAATTCCAGACAGAGATAATAGATCTCCAAGGTCAAAGCTGGTAGCTGGAGAGAAGAGAAAAAGCTGAGAGGGCGGGGGAGAACTCCTCTCCCACCTCCACCCCCTCTCTCGCGCTCCAGCAGGGAAAAGACTGAAAACTGAAATCCCTGCCACCTGTGAAAGATGACTGGGGTGAGGAGACCCCCATGCAGCTCACAGAGGAGCTTACACTGAAGTAAGTGGATGCACAAGGAAGCTTGAGACTTTGTGAGAGGCCTGAGATGAAACAGAGACCTGCTGGAGACTTGTAGGCCATGGAGAGAGACTTTTGCTGGAGTGAAACGGCTCTGGTAGGCTTGGATTCTCAGTGAGAGATCTGTGCTGGTGCAGCTGAATTTGTGACCCTGAGGGACAGCAGAGAACAGAAGACCTGTTGCCCGATGGATAAACCCATGTCAGAGAGGTCTATCAAGGACTGTTCTCCCATGGGAAGGGACTCCACAGGAAACAGTGGTGGACTCAAAAGCCATTATCCCCTGTGACTCTATAGTGAAGATCCATGGTAGGCAAGTGTCCCCTTGCAGTCCATGGAAGACCCTGCAGTGCCTGGATAACCCCCCAGCCTCTGGTCTTAGCCCAGGAGGGGGGTAGGCCCAGCCCTGAGGCTGACATAGAAGAGAGAGAGAAAGAGAAACAGTTCCTGCTGAGACGAATCGTTGTTGTTGTCCTACAGGTAAGAGAAGAAGAATTTTCGAGTGCTGCAAAATTATTTGAAAGACCTGTACCCCCGGAAATGGAGAAAGAGACTGCTTCTCCTCCTGAACTGAGACAAAGGAGGAAGGGGTATTTCTGTAAATACTTAAAGAGGGGCAGTGGTCGAATCAAACCATGACACTATTCTAGTCACAGGGTGCTGGGTTATACAGCTCTCTTTGTGGGTTAAAACCAGTTTTCTCTGTATCATTGTATTTATTGTAATCTTTTTAGTAAATTGAAACTCTGACTTGGAATCTCTCTTGAGTTGCTTCCTTTCTCCTGCCACTTTACTTTTAAACCAGCACAGGTCATAAAGATAACTGTCACATCAACTGACTGCCTAACACCTTTTTGAGAACATTGGAAAAGTTTTAAAAAAACAATAAAAGATTCTAGCATGCCCCAGAGGGCTGTGATTTGAGAGAATAAAACAAAACCAAAATCACAAAATACAACCTTGTGGAAATATGAAAAGAGAAATGTGGTTGGAGAAGAAGTACAGCTCCAGCTAAGATGACATCTTTACAAATATTTCAGTAAAAAACCCCCAACCAATTATGTTAATTTATTCTCACAAAAAACAGTTCATATCTCTAATCTTCTAATGGGATTTCCACATCTGTTCCTTCACTGCAATCGGAACACTGGTGGCTTCCTTGACACATATAAAGTAAAAAAACCCCATACTCGTGACTATACTGTGTACTATAAAAGCAGACAGATGAATGGGCTATGTGTCCAGAAACCAAAACAAACCCAGGAATAAAGGAGAGGTAAAGGACAACCAAAAAGTCCAAGGGAAAGCATCTTAGACCACAGTAACCCACGATGTGTGGATGCATTTCTGTGGAGAACTCTACAGAAGGGATCATGAAAGAACACCACCAAAAAGATCCCAACTTCCTGTGTGTCCATATAGCTGCTCACTTTGAATAACAAAAAACAACAGAGGTAGCCTATGATGATGATTATACTCCTGCAATACATCTACAAAGAGCCCTGGGCTCTTCAATGAATGCTTACACTGGTGCGTCTCGCTCCTGCAGCATAATACCTTTTCATAAAATCAAGCAGAGAGAGAAAATAGGCTTTAATTTTATCTTACCACCATTGCACTCTCCCACTTTTCTTCTCCCAGTATTGCCAGCTTTCTTAGCTGCCCTAGTGCGTTTTGGTCTCTCGTTAGAGGGCAGGTAGTCATCATCATCTTAAAGAAACATAAAAATATCACTGGTTAAATGTCCAGAGAACTCATGTGCTATGCTGGAACTGCTCTGAATTTCCAAGCTCTAATGCAAGCATTGGACGGGGCTCATCAGGGCACCAAACTGTACTTATCTCAGTAACTTTACATTGGGCGTTCTCAATCCTAATCTAATTCCAGAAGCAAGCCTTGCAAAAGCCACTCTCAGAAAAAGCAGTTACAGGACATGTAACCCACAAATACAAGAAATACAGCTGACTCCCATCCAAGATCCTCAACTGAAAACAACAGGAACATTGGGGAGGGGCTTTAGTGCCATTCAGAAGAGAAAGGAAGGTGGTAAGTACAAAGGTTTTTATCTCGTATTTATCGCTATGAGGCAAATACATTGAGGCTTCACTTATGCCACCTGTAACACAGCCCTTCTCTTTTGCTACAGTTCTTCCCAGAAGCTGGTGTTAACAAGAAATTTATAGGTGTGCTTACAAAACAATGTGTTCTTCAGAATGAATGAAAGTTATAACATCTTGTCTGTCCAATGAGTATTTGTCACTACCAATGCTTGAAACGTACGTGAAAGATGCAAATTGCTGCCAGGCATCATTTCCAAACCAGCCCAGGAAGTCCAGTGTGCTTCAGCATACTGTGGCTTTATAAAACTTCTGGACTACATATGCTTACCAAGCAGTGCACAATCCAAGCTGCAGTCAACACTGGCACAACTGGGTTACTGTTTATTCAGTGCCAAGTAACCCAGGCACTGGAAAGCATTTTTCAGACACAAAAATGCCCAACAGACTGAAATCAATGAACCAATGAACAGACCTTCTTCATTGGAGAACTCGACCTCAGAATCCTCACTTGTTTCTGACGAGTCAGGCTGGGAGGGATCTGAAAGGGAAAAACAGGGCTGTTGAATGATAGACACAGACAAGAGTTTTCTAACCAAACACTCCACGATTCTGCTTGTAATCTAACATTTGTCAGAGAAGCCCCTTGCACTCCCTGCAGCAACAAAAGCAGAAGCAAAGATATATTACTGAAAGCCTTGAAGCAGTTCCAGACAAGGGTAAGGAGGTGAGGATTACACTTGCTAAACCGTGTGTGCAGCAGTGCAGAGCTGGTGGCAATGACAAGAGGAAATTCCTTGTTCTTGGCTTAGAAGGATTAATACAATCATAAATATTTTTCCCTTTGTTATCAAGGATTACTGAAAATATAAACAAAGGCTTTGTGCCACCACAGATTATGGGTTTCTTTACCATTCACACAGCCCCTGGTTGTTGCACTATAGTGACTGCCATAACAGGCTGCAAGGCCAACAATGAAACACGGGAGGGAAATTCATGATCACAAATGCTTTTGCTGGGGCAATGTGCACCAACAAAACAAACAGGATTAGGCCTATCAACACTCGGTGTGAGAAAGAGCAATTTATATTCAACTGCAGTAAACTTTAAAAAAGTGAAGGCAGTTATATCAGAAACTACACCAAAATTAAGTAGCAGCGTATGGAGGAACGTGTTTACTTATTCTGGCACAGTAACGCTGCACTTGTGCATTTTCCACAGCATCTTCCTTCAGCTCTCTGTAAGCTGGAGTATGATATCACTTTGGGAGCAAGACTGAAGGAATCTCTGTTTCAAAGGCTCTTCACATGATGTCGTGTATAGCAGACGTTCAGCAGTATCTACTGAGACACCTTAACTGGACTGTATTTGAACTGTGTCAAACAGATCATCCCATTCACGGAAAACAGAGTAGGATATGTTGGTCTAATTCCGAGTGGGTGCTGGGTGGATAACTCCCAAATGCAAAGCACAACAAAAGGAAAGAATTAGGCAGTCTTCCTTTTAGTAGACATGAACATAAGGTACAGTCATGTCCTAGTTACAGGGGTCTGGACCTGTTGATCACTCTGTGGCTATAACCAAACCTGTGTATTCTACACCCTCTATGTCATTTCTAATAGCCTGGTAATAATGGCTCCTTTGCAGCAGCTGCCCAGGGCACACCTGACGCCTCAGGCTACAAACTGGATGTTAAAGAACCCTGAGATGCAGGTGAGAGTTTTTTTGTCTTCACATCAATGACTCAGCTCTGATCACTCTCCTCCAGGGAGGCACTGTCTCCTTCACACCCAGACTGAGATGGTCATCTCTGCTATTGGGTCATGACTGTGGGGGAGCCCCCTCCATAGATAATAGCCAAAAATTGCTTTCAGTTTTTTTAACTCCTACTCCAAACCTTTGTTTAAATAAGTGGTGGTGTCTAATAATGTAAATAAATTTGAAAGTTACCTTGCAATCTGTTCTCTAAATTGTTCATATAGGTAAGCAGTGCCTAATAGAATGAAGTTTTTGTATTTGTAACAATTTTTACTAGGTTTTGCAATAACTATTTTCCTTAGATCTGAAAGCCAATTTAACATAAGGAGATGTATATTTGCTTTAAAAATAGAAGAAGTGTATATTTTCTGTTTAAGCTATAGAAATGTCTATGAAAGAATTATACGGTTTTGAATTTTAAATTGAACATGAGGCAGAAATATGTTTACGCTTTATAGGTTATATTTTCGTCAAAGAAGTTCAAAGATCAAAGAAACACGGATATTGCTAATCTAAGAGTGAGAAACAAGAGTGCCAGTTTCTCATTTCATAACCAGAAAACACAGTAAAATAAGTCAGAAGTGTGTTTGTGTGAAAGCATAATTGGTGGCCACCATGGACGAAAGCTCTGTGTGTGTGAATGCATTAATATGCTCTGGTTTTGCTCGCAAAATACACAAACCATATTTTTTATGCACCCTTAGATGAAAAATATAAACACATAACCCTGATTTGAATGGATTTTTATTTGCAGAGATGTTTTGGATTGAAAATTAAGTTTTGAAGAACAAACTGCATAAAAGTCAAGAACACAAGCCCTAAAACCATCAAAGTTATTTGTTTTCATTTGCTTACAAGTCAGTTCTAATAAAGATCTTTAGAAGAAGAGCTGAAATAAGTTTCATAAGTTCTGATAGAAGACAACAGATTAGGTCAAATAATCTGTTTAAACTAGCTAGACATGTTGAATATTAATCCATAGTTATTTAATTTAGCATTGTTTGGAATTTTTGTATTCTTTTTGCATTTCATGTTTAATAATATTTTTGATTGGTTAGATGCTTTTCAATGTTAATACTAAGTTTAAGAAAAAAATTATTGCAGCAATATTCAAATTTTGTATTCCTTTGTATTTTATCTTGTATTTAGCAAATGTTTGATCAAAGTTTTTTCTGAGTTTTTGTTTTTCATAAAAATAAAGGGGCAGATGTTGCATCCCAAAATTTCGTATCTGCAGAGAAGGATTTGAGTATACTTTGCAGAAAGCCCTGGGCTAGGAGAGTTGGGGAAAAAACTAGGTTTTAGAGACAAATGAGGTATCATCAGTGTTGAATGCTCTGCCCTAGCACAGAGAGTCCACACCTTGATTTCATCAAACCTCTGCAGATATCCTATTTTACCTTATCTCTCCCTTTGTGTTCCCTGAATCCCGAAGAACCAAATACCTGTTCTCCCCTGTAAAATCCTCTAAGATAAAGTGGGGTTTTCCCCATGAGGTAACTGCTAAGACCCCAAATTTGTTAACCTGGGTTTTCCCCTTGTGTAATCCCCTAAAATGCCCTATTTGTAAGAAATTGTAATACTTTCAAATCCAGGTTGAATATGTAAACCCTAAACCTTTAAAATGAACTTGTAAGGCCAATAAACCATTCCAGTTTCTTGCCTCTCCTGGGATCCCTTAGTTATTGACTTGCTAAAGGCCATAATGGATGGGCATAATAGGCAGCTGCAGTGACCTACACAATCAAAGATTCCAAAAATATCTCATGACTCACAGAGTTAAATCCTCCATTGTGAAACTCCCTGCCTGGGGGAGGTACTAGGCGTTCCCACCTGAACTAGATAATATATAATCCTCCGGTTTGGGGACTTTTCTTACTACTCCTCAGATCCAGAGGAGGACAAGAACTTCAACAGGGCTGTAACTGCCACTCTGGACAAGCCGGCAATCATTGCTTCTGCAGAACTGCCACCATCATCTGGACCAACAGGCTTCCTTTCCTTTTACTTTGCAGCCGGGGGGGCACAAGATATCAGCACAGGGGCAAACAAACACCGTCCTGTTCTAGTCACAGGGTGCTGGGTTATACAGCTCTCTTTGTGGGTTAAAACAGTTTTCTCTGTATCATTGTATTTATTGTAATCTTTTTAGTAAATTGAAACTCTGACTTGGAATCTCTCTTGAGTTGCTTCCTTTCTCCTGCCACTTTACTTTTAAACCAGCACAGGTCATAAAGATAACTGTCACATCAACTGACTGCCTAACACCTTTTTGAGAACATTGGAAAAGTTTTAAAAAAACAATAAAAGATTCTAGCATGCCCCAGAGGGCTGTGATTTGAGAGAATAAAACAAAACCAAAATCACAAAATACAACCTTGTGGAAATATGAAAAGAGAAATGTGGTTGGAGAAGAAGTACAACTCCAGCTAAGATGACATCTTTACAAATATTTCAGTAAAAAACCCCCAACCAATTATGTTAATTTATTCTCACAAAAAACAGTTCATATCTCTAATCTTCTAATGGGATTTCCACATCTGTTCCTTCACTGCAATCGGAACACTGGTGGCTTCCTTGACACATATAAAGTAAAAAAACCCCCATACTCGTGACTATACTGTGTACTATAAAAGCAGACAGATGAATGGGCTATGTGTCCAGAAACCAAAACAAACCCAGGAATAAAGGAGAGGTAAAGGACAACCAAAAAGTCCAAGGGAAAGCATCTTAGACCACAGTAACCCACGATGTGTGGATGCATTTCTGTGGAGAACTCTACAGAAGGGATCATGAAAGAACACCACCAAAAAGATCCCAACTTCCTGTGTGTCCATTTAGCTGCTCACTTTGAATAACAAAAAACAACAGAGGTAGCCTATGATGATGATTATACTCCTGCAATACATCTACAAAGAGCCCTGGGCTCTTCAATGAATGCTTACACTGGTGTGTCTCGCTCCTCCTGTAGCATAACACCTTTTCATAAAATCAAGCAGAGAGAGAAAATAGGCTTTAATTTTATCTTACCACCATTGCACTCTCCCACTTTTCTTCTCCCAGTATTGCCAGCTTCATTAGCTGCTCTAGTGCGTTTTGGTCTCTCGTTAGAGGACAGGTAGTCGTCATCATCTTAAAGAAACATAAAAATATCACTGGTTCAATGTCCAGAGAACTCATGTGCAATGTTGGAACTGCTCTGAATTTCCAAGCTCTAATGCAAGCATTGGACTGGGCTCATCAGGGCACCAAACTGTCCAACCAATTACTTATTTGAGTAACTTTACAAACCTCCTGTTCCTACCTGTCTAGCAACAACCTCTGCAAGAGAGCCTGTGTAAGGCACAAGATAGCAAAAAGCAGAGCTGCTTCTGTACTTCCAAAGGAAAACAACATTGTGTTTTGAAATACGACCACACACCTCACAGTCATAAAAAGGCCATGCAACAGCAAAAGGAACCAGGGAATACACTGTACAGATATAGACTACTTATTTTATCTAACTGGAAGTAGTACCCTTCCACCAGTAAGGCTCACAACAACAGCACCTAAGTTTTGTCTTGAAGAGCTCAAAGGTGCTAAAACCAGTTTCAAAACACTCAAACTAATGGACGCCAAGGAAAATTCATGAACCAGGTCAACTCCACCGTAAATTCACACAGATGGACAGACAGGAAAACTGCAAATGCAGGAATTTTTCAGTGAGCTGCCTCTCAGCCAGTCACTTCTCAATCCAACCCTATCCTCCTTATGTTCATGAGCTATTAAGACTGTCCAATTCCCAACACCTGCAACCTTAAGAGAAAACAAACGCTTTAAACAGACAAAGACAAGCAATTTCACATAAAGAATAGCAGGTACCCACGTCACTAAAGGTACAGTTTGCTTCGGAAGAATAACGTGGCATATTGACACACACTGGACCTATGCTGTTGTATTATACTCCGTCAGGCAAAACTCCTTCACAGCACTTTTACTGTTGTGTGAAGGCCTTTACACATACACCGAACTTAATAACTCTTCTCTTATTACCTCTTCTGTTGAGGTAATGCAAGAGTTATTTCATTGCTGGATGACAAACAGGTAATAATAATGCCAGAAGTGTCAACTTTGTCCTAAATGCCTTGCCCATTTCCTAAATTGCTAATTGGGTGGTCTCAATCCTCATCCAATTCCAGAAGCAAGCCTTGCAAAAGCCACTCTCAGAAGTGTTTTAAAGCAGTCACAGGACATGTAACCCACAAATACAAGAAATACAACTGACTCCCATCCTAGACCCTCGACTGAAAACAACAGGAACATCGGGGAGTGGCTTTAGTGCCATTCAGAAGAGAAAGGAAGGTGGTAAGTACAAAGGTTTTTATCTCATATTTATCGCTATGAGGCAAATACATTGAGGCTTCACTTATGCCACCTGTAACACAGCCCTTCTCTTTTGCTACAGTTCTTCCCAGAAGCTGGTGTTAACAAGAAATTTATAGGACTACAGTGTGCTTACAAACAATGTGTTCTTCAGAATGAATGAAAGTTATAACATCTTGTCTGTCCAATGAGTATTTGTCACTACCAATGCTTGAAACGTACGTGAAAGATGCAAATTGCTGCCAGGCATCATTTCCAAACCAGCCCAGGAAGTCCAGTGTGCTTCAGCATACTGTGGCTTTATAAAACTTCTGGACTACATATGCTTACCAAGCAGTGCACGATCCAAGCTGCAGTCAACACTGGCACAACTGGGTTACTGTTTATTCAGTGCCAAGTAACCCAGGCACTGGAAAGCATTTTTCAGATACAAAAATGCCCAACAGACTGAAATCAATGAACCAGTGAACAGACCTTCAATCGTGACCTCGACCTCAGGATCCTCACTTGTTTCTGACGAGTCAGGCTGGGAGGGATCTGAAAGGGAAAAACAGGGCTGCTGAATGATGGACACAGACAAGAGTTTTCTAACCAAACATTCCACGATTCTGCTTGTAAACTAACATTTGTCAGAGAAGCCCCTTGCACTCCCTGCAGCAACAAAAGCAGAAGCAAAGATATATTACTGAAAGCCTTGAGGCAATTCCAGACAAGGTAAGGAGGTGAGGATTACACTTGCTAAACCGTGTGTGCAGCAGTGCAGAGCTGGTGGCAATGACAAGAGGAAATTCTTTGTTCTTGGCTTAGAAGGATTAATACAATCATAAATATTTTTCCCTTTGTTATCAAGGATTACTGAAAATATAAACAAAGGCTTTGTGCCACCACAGATTATGGGTTTCTTTACCATTCACACAGCTCCTGGTTGTTGCACTATAGTGACTGCCATAACAGGCTGCAAGGCCAACAATGAAACACGGGAGGGAAATTCATGATCACAAATGCTTTTGCTGGGGCCATGTGCACCAACAAAACAAACAGGATTAGGCCTATCAACACTCGGTGTGAGAAAGAGCAATTTATATTCAACTGCAGTAAACTTTAAAAAAGTGAAGGCAGTTATATCAGAAACTACACCAAAATTAAGTAGCAGCGTATGGAGGAACGTGTTTACTTATTCTGGCACAGTAACGCTGCCCTTGTGCATTTTCCACAGCATCTTCCTTCAGATCTATGTAAGATGGAGTATGAGCCACATTCATGGCTTTCTTTACAAATATAAAGGAAAAAAACATACTATAATAAAATGTGAAAATAAAGTTTTAACTCCATCCATGCAAAGTAAGGATTCCCAGAAGGGAAAATCCGGAAGTATAATTTTCATATGAACAACACACAGAAGTCTCATTTTCAAAATCTTAAAAATTCATGGCAGCAGGAGCACTCTGAGCTTATGTGTTGAAATACAGGTGTGTATTTTCTGGTGTTTGGAAATGGGGAAAACAGTATCTTTAATATAAACTGTAAGAAGTTTAAAAAAAATTGCAGAATTTTGGGGTAAATGTATTTCAGCTGTTGCTGAGATCCAGTAAGAAACTGCTTTCATTAAACACAGACTTTTCATTTACTTTTGTCTGGTTTTGCCCATTCATCTCACTCAATGGAGAAAAATGATCAAGTTGGACTTGCAATTTATAATCAGACTTTTATTAAACTTAATAAGCAATTATTAAACAGATTGAATTTCTTGAGAAAGTTACCTATTCACACAAATCACTAGTGATAAATCTGATACTTGTTCTTGAATTTAGAATAGGAAGAAATGAGATTCCCTTTTATACATTTCTCTACTTGAAACACCTGGAAATTAAAGCAACTGAAACTTCATCTCTTTTGATGTTTTAGTTACAATATCCTCATTCCTACTGCAAATCGAGAGTTCACATATTCAATTTCCAAAACATGAAGAATACAACTAAAAGATCTACCTCTGTAACTTTTTGCAAAAGCAAATTTTTCATCCATCTCTGATGTCTCAGAAGGGCCTGCTTCAGAACAAAGAGAAGGGCTTTAAAAGAGTGTCTCATAACAAACACCCATAGAGAAATTTGCCAAGTAACTCTTAATTTCATACACTATATTCTCATTTCATACTTTCTGTAATGTTCAACTTTGGAAAGACTGTGTTAAATTATAAATATCTATAAATTATTACTTATCTGGTTCAAGAGAATAAAAATGTTGAGGGTCTACTCTCAGGTGTGTGCATTTCTTGGACTACTGAACAATCAGACACTCATGCAGAACACCAGGCTTTTTTTTTCAATGTTAATGAACTAATTTTAAAACATGAAATGTTGATGTTTTTCAATGAATTTTTAATCAGTCTGATATCTTTCCTGTGCGTAAAATTTATATTCCTAAGGAGTACTCTTTGCCTTTAAAATTTCTACCTACATTAAATACATAAATTCAGAGGGATTAAAATAACCGATGACGCTCAAAGGCTGTTTACTTTTCTTAATAACAGCTCTTTTGAAGGTGACAGACAGACTGGTTAAAAAGGGCTGGTGCAGAAACCAGCATACAAATGACTGGTTAAATTAACACTCCTAAAATCCTACTGTTTAATGCTCTGGTTCACCTGCAGCTACACTGGAAGGGTGAGCTGTAAGTTATTTTTAGCAAAAACTATGACCATTTTCTTTATTTGTAGCATGTCTCTGCAAAGGCCATACTGGAACACACCTCAGAATAACTGCATTTTTCTAAGGTTCACTTCCTGCACAGCACCACCATGCACACACAAACCCCTATATGACTCCAAAGTTTATAGCTCTCTACAGTTTGGACAACCTTTGGCTTGAATCAGAGTGATAGCTACTCAAAGAATGAAGGAGAAGCTGCTTTACTTCAGGGAAGTTGGCATGACTTGACATGGGAATATCTCTTTTAATTCAGAGCACCCCATCACTTCTACCAATATACTGAAATTCCCCCCTTCAAATCTGCACTGCTTAGACTTCACAATGGAAGTATATTGTATAAGGGCTCAGCTCAGACAAATACGCTGCAGTACAATGGGTACTATTTTGTAAGGAAGCAATTTCAGAGCAGACTGTCTTCAGACAGCATTGGTTTATGTTGCGGGATATTTGCCAAATTGTGACATCAGTCTTATGTGTGAAACAGAAAACTATAATAGGGATCAAAAGCAGAAAGATGGGAGGACTTTGGCTTTGGAAGGAACAATGCTTAGGTTGTCTCTAACCAGTATCTCTTTTCATTACGTCAAATCATGCCTGTAAACCCCTCGTTGTCCAACGTTAGGCAAAGTACACTTATGAAGAGAAGATAATCCTAACACCTTTCCAATTCTGCATTTGAGGGGCGACACTTTGCTATGCTGTGTGGTGGAGACCTCTCTGAACATTGTACACTACTCGAGATATGCCAGGACGAGAATATTGATGCCATAATCCTGTTCTTATTTTTAAAGCACATTAGAAAATAATCTCAAGAATCTTTAAACATACACAAAAATGTTATCCCAATAATATATAATATTAGAAAATGAAGGGATATGCTGTTTTGCACTTCACTGTTAACACGTAACTATCCTTCAGAGATGTGTGGCAGCTTGCCCGGGTCACAATGTATTCCTTTGTAATACTTTGGTTTTAACCTAATGACAAATGCAAACAGAATGAAATATTTAATTCAGGGTTCTACTTATTTTATATTGCCACTTATGACTTCTTAATTACTGTTCAATTCAACATAACGAAATAACAATTTCTATTTTCCACTCCTAGTTGAGGTCTATGTGTTAGATAACCTAGAGATGAGGAAAAGCAACTGAAGACACCTTAAAACATACATAGTCCAAGCCATGGACCTCATAAACATTGTTATGCTTTGCCCACACAAACAAACTTTTCAATTCAATTTTGACACATATTGGTCGTTCCATACAAGAGAAGTGATTGACAGATTACAAATCATAGATTCTATGAGTTACAGTGTAGAAAAGTTACAGAAAGTTCAAACTAAGATTCAAGTAGTGCTCTAGAAACATTATTTCCTGTTTAAGGAAGCCACTGAAGTTACAAAGTCTGCACACTGGATCCTCAGAAAAAACATCAAGCAGTTTGAAAGGCTTCTGGAACTTCTTCAGACCAAACACACACACATGGGTTTGGATGAAGTTGTTCTTTAGCTCTTTTGGCACTCCTCAGAATAACTTAAATGACAGGCAGCATGGAAATGCTGTATTCTAACAGAGCTATGTAATTGCATCCTTAATGACCAAAAATAAGTAAACAGAGAGGCGTGGAGAGAGCAACACTTGTACAACCAACCCTTTCATGAGATAAACACATATAGAAATTACTATCGTTACCTGGGATATTAAACCTATGGTAGTCATCTGATTCCCCCTTCACTGGTACCATTGCCATTTCCAAAGAAATTCCTATAGTAGCAACAAAGGAATGAAATATGAAAAACAGTAATAAGCAGATTCTTAAAAAACCCAAACAACAGCACCCACCAAGATCCTTGCTGGTCTCTGTAAAAACAAAGATGAAAAAAGAAAAAAAGACACTACACATTTGTTGAGTTAAAACAATGGTAAAAAAGTGACCTGCTGGTTTCTTATTCAGTTTGGTCACCCTATAAAAGGATCCAGGATTAAATGTTTCCCTACAAACTAAGTGTTCCTTCAGATGCTATTTCAGACCTGAAGATTTTTTTTTTTAAATGGGCTTCTTCCTTTTTGCATGCTACCACAGAAAAAGAATGTATTTTACCACTCACTGTGCTGAAAATACTTGTAGACCTGCTCCTGTTCACTTCTCTGTGCAGACAAATTCAGATACAGCCTGCATCAAACTGCACTGCTGACAGAGCAACACATAACCCCTCCATAAGACTTGACAGCATTCTCTAAAATGTTTTCAAAACATTTTGACAAAAGTAGAATTACTTAAAATGCCTAGAGAGCAGCGCAGGAAATATTCTGGAACTAACTTGGCAAAAAGCTCAAGTTAACCCTTTGTGTATGTTAAGCTGAATGTTAACCATACAGGGATCCTAAACCACAAATTTAAAGTTGGGAAGCACAAAGAACTAGAGCAAGTGGACTACATATAAAAACTCAATTTTTACAGCAAAGTGAGCAGTGCAGCCCAACCCAACAAAAAGGAAAGTCACCACCTTATCTTCCAGCATACCTGTTGCCTCACTGGCTTTAATGGGGTTATCCATGCCTTTACCTCACAGCACACTCTTAAGTATTGCCCTGCCACAGACCACAGTGCCCAGGGGAATCATCTGCTACCCGCTAGGCAACCTAGGAATGCATTGGCTATTTTTTAATAACAAATAACACATCTTGGTATTTATTCTTTATTTATTTCCATTTTGGTTAGAAAATTGACATTTTGTTATTTTCAATATGTTAGTAATATTAACAAATAAAGTTTTTTGTTTCCCATTAGGGACAAAGCTATCTTGAATTAGAACAAACCCAAACAAAACAGAGACATTTTCTCTTTTCTAAACTACTTAGAGATAAATTATTTTAGTCTACAATATATTACAAACTTCCTTCCTCTTGAGATGGAAGCATTTGGCTAAGGTTCAATATTTGAATAAAATTTCAACCAAAAAGTGGAGAGTTTCAAGGAAAAAAAAGGCTTTCCATCTCATCAAAGATGTCTTTTTGCTGCTTTTGTTTTTTTAAGCTTCCTAGCTTTGCTTAAATTCAGACTTTTGCACAGAACCTGATTTTTTTTTTCTTTTCTTTTTGCAAATAAGTGCAAAATTTTGAACATACCAGAATCTCTGCTTGGTTCCGTTTTCACTTTAATAGGAGGACAACTACAAAAATAAACAAATCAAGCAGATTGACATTATGAAAAACAAACATCACATTTCTGGGAAGTTGCTCAAGCTTTACAACCCATCAAGTAAAATCAATCTCCCATTATTATTTCCAACAAGAACACAAAAGTAAAAATCCCTGCATATTAGCTTATCTGACTCATATCAATGGAATTGTCAGCAATCTCCTATCCCTACATTTTTTGGGGCATACGAAATATTCAAATCATGCTTAGTATTTAATGAGAAGCAATCACAGAAGCACAGAAAACTAATGCCTGTTTTCACATTAACCAATTTTTTACATATTCCAACTATAATATCTTAATTTACTAACCAAAACAATTACTTTTTTTTTTTTTTTGAAATTGAGGAGGGGGAAGAAAGCAACTTGACATCTGTTCCCCATCACTGCTGTACCAAAAAATGTGGCAAACTTATTATCCCTGACTGACAAATCGTGAATTAAGAACACTCCATGGGCTAATTAAACCACGAAGACACTTTGCCATTTGTTTAACTTGTAACAGTTTCCCCACAAATAACGGTCCAAAGAAAGAGAAGATTCAGCTTCATGTTTTTTGTAATGCCAAGCAAGCAAAAGTTATCCAAAGGTCAGCTGGGCAGAAAAAGCACATCAAGAGAAAGATAAACCACATGAAAATTTGTAGTTGATAAAAAAAGAAAGCTACATATATACCTTCCACCTGGAGATATAATTGAATGTGAAGCATCTGTTATATGAGCTCCTGAAAGTTAAAAAACAGTATTTGAATTTCCTGTACTCCATTTACTTTAAATACAAATTGTAACATCGATTTCACAAAGCAAAAACCTGTTCACATTTTACAAGCCCATGTGCATATTTTTGGTATTCACAGATAATGAGAGCTAGATCTCATTAAACTATCTTAATCATCTATAAAACAACACCAATATAAAATCTATTCAGATGTGCATTTTACCATGCTTTTCACTGCTCTCTTTTATGATGCTAAGTGAAAATCTTGGGAAACAAGGACAAACAAGTCCTTCACCTAAACTCTACTAAAAGAAAATGATAGTTTCATACATATTGTTTAGCCCTAAATTACAGCTAGATACAAATAACTTATATTCACCACATTGAAAACCTACACTGCATTTTCAATAGAACTATACTGTTACCAGAATCTTTGTAATTTCCCAATCTCTAATCTTTTAACTGAGCACAAGCAACACATTTTTAATTTTACTAATCAAGCATCATCTTCTCACTGTTTCACCTAAAAAATTAAACTTTTCTTTTTTGGTTACATTCCTATAGAGATTGCTTCATCCATTTCTTAAAACAAATCCTCACATGTATTCATTTAGCAAGCAACATGACCCCATGAAAGGAAGAGAAGGGATTTCTCCTAAGCTAGAAGTAAATCTTTTAGGGTTTTACAAAACTTACTCTAGATCTGTTCTTTTTGATATATAGAGGCCTTCATAGGAACTACAACACCTAGCCATTTCAGAAGATTAAATCATTTTTTATATAAATTATTTTATACATTTATTTAAATATAAATGCCAAAATCAGCTCTGTAGTGGAACATAAGCACTGCAAAGTCTTGGCATCTTCTAAAACTGCAATGTAGTCCTTCACAAGTTCAATTCTCCTTTTCCTAGGATACTATCCAATCCACATTAAATTTATATTCGGTAAACAGATGAAAAATTAAATAGAATTAATTAAATCTCTAATGAGTTGCTCCTGGCAGAATGCATACAGGGAAAGGTTATAGCTCCATAAGTAAGGCAACTCACAGTCCAGGAATTTCTGCACAGTTTGCCGCTTTATGGACATGACCAAATATTCTATCTATATTGCTACCTAAACTCAAATTGCAATCTGTTTTTCTTTAGTCTGAGTAAGCAGTAACTTACCTGTATGTTCCTCTGGCTCTAAGAAAGGCCTGTGTGAAAATATGGAAAGAAAAACTCACAGCTTTAGCAAACACATCATTAATTACTTGGTAGTGTAACATTACAGAGAGTGAACTGCTGTTCGAGAGAAACAGTCTGCAATGTAGTTAATTAAAAATTGAAATTAATTTTACTTAATTTAAGTACAAAACCGAATTGGACAGACTAGTGGAAGAGAAAGAGCAAATAACCTTTTGATAACAAATGAGATCCCTGACTTGTTTTCCAAAATCCATTTCAGGGTTGAAACATTGTAATCTGCTGGATTTTTAAATGCAAGTCCTTTGGGCAGGCCCTGCACTATGACAGCAGACTGGTCCCTCTGAATCTTCTCATATGGCACAGGTACCATTGTTGACCTTCCTAAAGCTTCACCTAGGAAAAAAAAAAAAAAAAGAGATTGTTTTGAGGTCAAGATTGCTCAAGTTAGCAAAAGAATAAGTCCCTTATAAACCCTTGTAACTTTGGAGAGGACTGGAGCAAACGCAAAGCGCAGATGAAAATCTCCTCAGAAAACAAGTGCTGGTGGTATCAAAATGCATCTGAAATCACACCCCACAAAACACATCAAGAAGAAAATTAACCACTATACGTGTACTTTTTAGAAACAGCTACTAAAAGTTTCTAAAAATAGAAGTGTAGTTGGAAGGCTAAGATTGTGCAACTTAGAAACCTAGAACAGGTCTTCAGAAGATTTTTAAAGCACCCACCATAGCAAAAGCAGAAAAAGTCCTCTACAGACTTTCTGAGAGTCTCCAGTTCCACAACATCCCCTGTCAGGTTGTCTACCCCTGTTTCAGCAGGTATAGTCTTCGTTTTCTGCAGTTCTGCAGCCCTGTCCTCTTCTGTAACACCTGGCAGTTATTTATAAAAAATAGACAAAAACAAAACAATAAAATAGTAAGTTATTCAAACTGTCAATACCTAGTCCGTCCAGTTTACACTAGAGATGCTCAGGAAGGATTCCTGCCAGAAAACTGTAAGACCTTATTTGCCTTAGAAGCAAATGCACATATCTATGTACATAAGCAATGAGCAAATTTGAATTTACACCAGAATAACTGTTTTCCTTACAACCTTTGTAAACACCATCCTCTGAGGATTAAGAATGATGAATTAAGAGACACGTCCAAGGAGGGTTTTTTTGGCATGAAGAAGTAGAAAACACTATTAGTCTCAGGAGAAGATAACACAGTAAAAATAAAATGCAAAACTGCCAAGAAAAAAAAGACCAACAGAGTCATCAGGGAAAAGGTAAAATGCCAGGGTGGAGGGTCCCATAGCTCTCTACTGCTGTGCATGACATCTTATGCAGCAATTCTGTTACATCTTGGTTTGTTTATGTTGTATGTGTTTACTGAAGTTTTTATAGAAGGGATCTGAGTTCTGCCACAACAACTTGTCTCCTTCAAAGAACAGTTTAAGTACACACTTCTTACTGCCAAATAGGAGGAGCTGGAAAGAAGCCATCATCATGCAAAATAGAGAAGATTCCATCCCTACATCAGGTTCTAGTCTCTGAGCATAAGTCATTGCAAAAGGAGTGAGGGAATAAAGACACTTTCAATATTAAAAAGCAAAGAGAAGGGATGGCTTCAGGTGGCAGCCTTCCTTTCTTGTCGTTCAGTTCTTACAAAGATTTACTGAGAATCATCCAGCAAACAACAGAGATATGCTTGCCTACATGGAAGGAAAGGCAAGGAAGATCTGTGTTCCTGTGTGCAAGAGCATGATCAATGCTGAAGCTGTGTCATGACTTCCCCACAAGCCAGCACAGCAGTAAGCCTGACACACTGCAATGTGCATCACCAGGACTCCTGGCATCAGAATTCTACACTGACACAAGAAAACAAACATCACTTTGAACAACTGATTACAAATGGGCTGTGCAGCTGAAGCAGCAATGCTTTTAGTAAAACCACATTTATCATCTAAAAACTCATATCTTCATTTAAAAGAGAATCTTGTCCTTCCTCTGCAGATCACACATCTGGCTTCATGCCCTGGGAAATCCATCTGCATGCGACATTAAGCTTTCCAGCTCTTGAGGCCTGAAACTTCTGCTTTCTCTGCAATATCACAGGGCCTACCAGAACATGAAAAATAATGCAAAATTGGGGTATAATTATATACCTGTATATACAGGTGCTTAATTAATGACAGTTTTGAAGACTTGCTTGTGGACTCGGGGATAAGAGACTCCAGTTTCCATTTACAGTTCCATGTATTGTTGCTTTTCGAGTGGGTTTTTTTCCATGTAAGAAAATAAATCACTGAAAATGCCTTTACTGCCATCAGCTTCTCAAAAGTATACCCACACTTTTTAAAAATAATACACAAATCAAAATTAAAATGACAACACTACCCACTTCACATTAAAATGAAAAGCAGACAGAGATAGAGAAATTTTCTTTCGTAACTAGAAGAGAAATCCTTATCGGATTTTTTTATTACAGGATTTTTATCCATTTTCTTAAGCTTACATTATGCATCTGCCTCCCTAATCTCTCCCTAATCACACTCTTTGGGAAATATTAATGAAGTCTGACAAACAAGGTCAATTTTCAAGCACAGCAAGATTTGTGAGAGCCCTGCACAACTGATCACATGTAGCAGGCATTCACTCCTCCTGGGAGCACTCAAGGACACATGACCACCTGGAGAGTAAACAACTTCACAGGTTCTGCTGAAGCTCTCACTACAATTACTGGAGTCCGCAGCAGGATTCAGGCTACCTTTGGGAGAGGGATAGGGTGCCTGGGACATGAACAACAGGATCTGGTGGGAAAGAGAGATGAGGGAGCTGTATTTACAGGGTAAATAGCTCATAAAAGGGGAGGAATGGTTATATAGTAAAAGAATAGTATTCTACACAGTTATGAGCATACTGCAGGATAAGTCCAGTTATTCTGCAAAACTCTTCAAAATTCCCCAATTCCCAACAATCCTCATTTTGCACTGAGAGCCCACATATACCTAAGTGTCTCTTATCTTCTTGTACTATCCAGGTGTGGTGGTTACTCAGAATATCCTTCCCTCTGGGTCTGACGGTCCAGCATACCACTTGGCTGGAAAAGGAATCTCCCAGCTGTCCCCACTCTTATAAAACAGATATAATATAAAATGAATAGGCTGCTTTACAGAAAAAAAGAAGTCCTCTTACAAGAAAGTTTATGATGGAACAAAAATATTTGAAATGATGGAATTTTAATTTGGTAATTTTTTCTTGTTGCATGACAGTAACTGGACAGCTAAACCTTGACCCCTGTATGGGCAGATGCTATAGCTTCCTGTCTGAAGCAGATGCTTATAAATTTGATACAGCTCTCTTCATCACAGAGAACACAGCTCAGCACTTGCTCTAAGTTCCACACAGTCTGAGTGCAGCAGACTAAAAGAGGCCATGGTTGGTCTGTTTGCCAAGCACCTGACCCAGAGGTAAGGGGAGAGCTGTGCTGGGAGAAGGCAAGCTGCATTTCTCCTGCAGAGCAGAGCATGCCCTGCTGGGTCACACTGTAGACAAGTGTCAAACCCAGCACTGTCCACATCTCATCATAGAGTAAGAAACAAAAAAATTAAACTTCGGTAGAAAAATGAGCTGTCAGTCCCATGGCACATAAGGCATCTTAAAACATCAGATGATTTTTAATCAGGTGGCTTTTAATCCCCCAGGTAGAGAAAGCTAAGAAGTAATTATAAGAGTATGAATGTGACTCCTGCACAGGCACTCTGAGAGGCAACTTAAGGGCAACAATGATTTTGTGACAACGCTCACATACATGTATCTTATTACGTGCTTAAGGAAAATGACTGCATGAACATAACTACGAGCAATGAAAGAAAGTAAATGTGTGTGCGGCTAAAAGCATTTAGGTTTGGTTTATAATGCATCCACCCAGCTCATCTGTGAGCTTTTCAAGACCACCCAGCTTTACAGTTCATGAAATTGGAAAATATCCTCAAAGTAAAGAAAATTAATTTTATAATTATCAAACAACCACCTAAACCACAAGAAAGGTAAATAACCTGAGGCAGAATTTAGGAGACGCAGAATTTAGGAGACACAGAATTTCAAAAAGATTTTCTATCACCAGTAATTTTCTGTTTGTTGTCTCAAATCCAAGGGATAAAGATGAGTGGCTTCTGGGGAAATGGGACTGAACTTTCCCTGTAAGTTTTTAAACCAGCTGTTAACTTCATACCCCTTAGTGGGCTAGGCAGTGACAGAACATGAAAGCTTTGGGGCAGTCAAGCCAAGAAACCCAGTTGTACAAACTACCCAGCTCTGAAACAACCCCAGAAAAACATCAGGGAGCTCTGAGCTAGGCAGGGCATGGCTACAGCTAAGGATGCTGGAAAGAAAAGGCATCCGGACTGGCACATGACCTGCAAGAGTCTCTGTTCCTGACGTTTCTACAGGGAACAGAGGCAGATGATGGAAGCAGAGAAAGCACTGCCAAGGAAAGGAGGCAAAATAACTTGCATCTAACTGTGCAGCAGAATTTTTGAAAATGTATGCTTGTTTTCAAGAACTTGGTAAAAGGGGTGAACTGACCTGTGAAAACAAAAGAAACTGCCAATAATGTAAAACTCAGGAAAAACAGATTAATTCACCCCTAATACTATGAGAAAGAGTTTGCAAAGGAAACTAAGAAATGCCTGACTAGCTGGGCTGGCCATCACCCTTTTACTAGTCCAGGAAGCTGGGGGGAAAAGAAAGGGCGAGTAGTAGAAAGTGGGAAGTAGTAGAAAGTAGAAAACAGGAGACCACAAGGTCTCCTAAATAATAGGAAAATTATTTCCATCTAGACTATTAATACAGAATTCATACAATGAACACATATTAATATGTGAAAAATATGCAGTACAGAAACTACATTATTTGCATTGCAAATGGTTAGGTAGAAGGGGATTGCAAGATGAATCATTTAAGCGAGCTCAAATGGAGACAGCGATGGCAAAAAACCCACAGCTCTTACCATAAGACAGATGGGGATGATTGCTTTGGATTTTATTACTTGCAACTGCAGCTGCTGGGTAAGTGCTAGGAATATTATTTTTAAACTAATTGCTAAGCATGTGATTTATCAGGAATAACCTAGTCAAATCTTTAAGTGTAGATGATTCTATGATAACAACATTCCACAAATACAAAATAGAAAGTGACTGAAACTTAAATCCCCAAAAAATTAGGTTTAACACAGCACAGTAAATTTATCAAATGGTTACAACCATAACAGAAAAACTCCCCCAAAAACTACGGGTCAGGCAAAAACAGATGCAAAATATGAACTAGTGCTTCGGCATACAATGTAAATACTTTAAGAGACTGGGAAAGCAGAATCCTGAAGTGCTGGTGGCAGACACAATGTCTGTAACAAAGTGTCCTAGCTTTCCAGCAGGAACATCTGAAGCCTCACATTTTTCGTCAAATAAAGATATCCCATAAACTGTAGGAATCAGGGCACTCCAGACATCTTTGTACCGCCCTGGGGAGATAGGGACCCCCAGAACTAACTCTCAGTGCTAAGGTTTTACAGTCACACAGAGGCAAGAGCACAAGAGCAGGAGCATGAAAAAAAAAGCCAGCAGTTACCTTGCCCAAGAAAACGGATTAGGAAACTGTTCCCTATTTAATCCCAAACACAGACAGGCAGGTTAGCGTTCATCATGGCTGGGCTTCGCGAACGAAGATTTGAGAAGGGCTCTACCCACGCTTGCTACAAGCGCGCTGATGGCTAAAAAGGCCAATGCTAGATAGACAAGTCCGGTTGCAGAAGGCACAGCAGAAAGACTCCCCAGGTGATATCGACAAGACGCGATTCTTTCTGCGTTGTCTTTTCTTCTCGAGAGT